CGCCTCCTCCTGATACCATGAGGATAGCTCTGTGGAGGACTGGTTGTCCACTCGTCATCCCATTACACCTATATGCCAGAGTTTTTTCAGCCAGTTCCCAAATGCTGAGCACTCACTTTGTTTTCAGGTCTTTTAACCACAAAGAAAGCTGCTATGAGTATTTTGGTGGCTATTGAACCTTTGTTTCTGTCTTTCAGAACAGAAGACTTTCCATCTTTCCTAGGGCAGATTTCCCCCATAGACTTTTAGGTCATGTAGTGCTACCAATCCTTTCTCTAGGACCCCTTAAATCTGCTTTCCCCAAATCTAGAGTGCAGGCCAGACTGTGCCCTGTCTTCCTCTCTTCTAAAATGAATTCCACAGTGGGTCACTTTGCCCTGAGATTTCTACCATTTCTACTTCAGAAACCAATTCCACCTTGTTGGTCAGCATCAGACCCAGAGGAGCAGTTCTTGTCACTTCCTCCTCCTTTGGAAGGATGAGATTATTATTAGGGCTAGTTAAAAAAAATCTATTAGGTATACAGCTAGAGGGAGAGAGAGAGAGAGAGAGAGAGGGAGAGAGAAAGAGAGAGAGAGAAAGGGAGGGAGGGAGGAGGAGGGAGAGAGAGACAGAGAGACAGAGATAGACATAGAGACAGCCAAGAGCAAGAGAGACAGAAAGACAGAGAGACAGATACAGGAAAAAAAATTGAGAAAAGAGATGTCCAATATGCCTGGATCCTGCCTCTGATGCTTACTACCTGTGCAACTGTTGGCACATAACCTCCCCTCCCTCAGCCTTCGTTTCTTCAGTTGCAGAATTAGGGGACTGCATTAGATGGTGTTTGAGCCCCTCTCCAGCTCTAGCCTCCTGTTCAGCAGATCCGTTGTATTACCTCTGCCCATACTGCTTTTCTTTCTTTTCTTCATTTACTCTTACCCAAATGCTCTCACCTCTGTGTCACCCTACCCCAAATCAGGTTTCTCGATTTTCTCACAAGCATCTTCTTAATATAAAATGCTCCTCTGTCCCTCCTTTAACTGTTCTGTTCATTTTGTTCCTAATAAGGCATATTGTTCCAGAACCATATTCTATGTGGATCCTACTCCATTCAAGCTTCAGTGACACCTATGAAATAAAAATGCTTCTCTGTGTTAGGATCTCAAGTTTTTCTTGCATGTTACCCACACTTTGCCTATTCACCTTTCTAGATACCAAAAGATAGTGCAGTGTATACAGTGCTAGTCCTAGTGTCAGGAAGACCTGAGTTCAAATTCAGCCTCATGTATGACCCTGGGAAAATCACTTAACCTCTGTCTGCCTCAGTTTCTGCAAAATGGGGATAATATTAGCACCAGCCTTCCAGAGTTGTTGTGAGGACCAAAATGAGATAATGAGCCTAGCACAGTGCCTGCTGGCACATAGCAGGCACCTAATAAATTCTTCATTTCTCCCTCCCTCCCTTCCTCCTTTTTTTCCTTCCTTCCTACCTTCCCACATACAGGTATAGACATGAAATTTATTTCTGGCTCCTTATATAAATTTATCTGCGGTGTCTCTACTGCTTTTCTTTTCCTATACTGGTGCTATTCTCTGTGGTATCTAGCTTGATAGACATATGTAGCCAATTTTTTCCCTCTTTCTTCCCTTTTCAGTTTAAAGCTTTTTAAATTAGATTTGAAAGACCCTACAAATACATGTTTTCTGCCAGCCCTTATTAAGCATACTCTATCCCTAGCCAAAAACCCATCATTTCTGTATTTTAAGCTGTTGTTAAGAAATCTAAATTCCATTCTTCAAGGCTGATTCAAGTATTACCAACTGTTTCTCATCCCCTCTTCCTGGCTGAAAGTGCAGGCTGGTCACCTTCACCCAAGAGAACATAGAAGGGGCTCCAAGAATGTCTCTCCACTCTCCAGGTTTTCTGGGAGAATGAATATAATGTGGTCAACATCATCGGCAACATCAGAGTTGCTGCTTACTGGACAATCTCTCTCCTGATGGCATTTGTGGATGCATATAATCATTCCTCGAACTGCAAAGAGCTGCTTCCTTCTCCGAGGCTCAAGCCTCCTACTAGATGGGAAGGATCTCGTATCATTATTTACCTCAAAGTATTCAGCCCTATTTCTGCTTTTCTTTCCCTCGTGTGTCATGTTCTTTTACCTCCATCCTTCCTCTGCTCCCTAACCACCTGATCCACGTCAAGCTCAGGATTATCTTCTGCCTCTTTCCATCTTCCTTTGTGTGTGTGTGTGTGTATTTTTTTTATCTTGAAGCCTCTCTTTCATATTTTCTTTTTAGGAACATTTCATTCTCCCAGAAAGCCTGGAGAGTGGAGAGCCATTCCTGGGGCCCTTCTATGTTCTCTTGAGTGAAGGACACCAGCCTGCACTTTAAGCTGGCTATTACTTGGTTTGGCAGAAAAGCAAACATTCACATCCCTACGCAGGTCAATGGGATATTCTCTGTGGCCGCTGTACTAGCTGCAAGTGAGATCACCAGTCGTGGGTCCTTATTGGTACCTCTTTCAGTAAACTCCCATTCTTCACTTGTGGGAATGGTTCCCATCTTTCAAGGCTCCATTCGAGTGCCATATCTTGAACTGGATGACTTGTAGATATATCGAACAACACATCCAAAGCTAAACTCATTATCTAACTCCCCTCCAAACCTTCTCCTTTTCTTTTCTTCTACTTATTCATTTTTGTTGTATTTTTTTTTAGACCTTCCCCTTTTCCCAACTTCCCATTTCTGTCCAGGGCATCACCTCCCAGTCCTCACGGCTCGAAACCTAGGGGTCAGCAATTCTACATTTCCCCTCCTCCCCATATCCAATCTGTCGCCAAGGCCCGTTAATGTGACCTTTGCCGTATCTCTCGAATATGCCCCCTTCTTTCCTCTGACTCTGCCACCACTCTGAAGCAGACCCTCACCACCTCACACCCGGACCATTGCAATAGCCTGCTGGGGCCTCCCTGTCTCTAGTCTTTCCCTGTTCCAGTCCATCCCCCACTCAGATTCCAGTGACCTTCCTAAAATGCACATCTGACCACATTCCCTCCTATCCTGCTCAGTACCCTGTAGTAGTTTCTTGCTAATCCAGGATCAAATATAAAACTCTCTATTTGGCTTTTAAAACCCTTTCCAACCTGGTCCCCTCCTCTTTCTAGTCTTCTTACACTTTGCTCCCCTCCCCATACTCGTATGATGCGGCGACACTGGTCTCCTGACTCTTTCCATGCCTGGAATGCTCTCTCCCCTCCTCTCGGCCTCCTGGTTTCCTTCAAGACTCAGTTCAAATCTTCCCTTCTGCAAGAGGTCTTTCCCGGTCCCCTTCCCCTTTTTCTCTGAGATTAACTCAAATTTATCCTGTATGTATCCTCATATGTACATGGTTGTTTGCATGTTGGCCCCCCCATTAGAATGGGAGCTCTCTGAAGGCAAAACCTATTTCTTTTTACCCTCAGTATATAACACAGTCAGTAAACATTTATTAAGTACCTACTATGTGCCAGGCATTGTGCTAAATGCTGGGGATACAAAGACAGGCAAAAGACAATACCTGCCCTTGATGAGCTCAAATAATGGAGCATATGACAGAGAAACAGCTGTGCACAAACACACTACAGATAGGATAAATCAGAAATAATCAACAGGACGGCACTAGAAGGACTGGGAAAGTCTTCCTGTAGAAGGTGGGATTTTGGCTGGGACTTGCTTTACAGCTCCCATGAAGCCTTCCGTGTTCAGCTTTGAGCTTCCACAGCAGGTGCCTTTGTTATGATCCATGTATTTGTGTTCATGTCTTACCCCCATTTTTTACTCTGACTAGACCAGGGCTGGGGAACCTGGGGCCTCAGGGCCACATGTGGCCCTCTAGGTCAAGTGCGGCCCTTTGACCGAATCCAAACTTCACAGAACAAATCCCCTTCATAAAAGAGTTTGTTCTGTAAAACTTGGACTCCGTCAGAAGGCCACACCGAGGACCTGTGGCCTGGAGGCGAAGGTTCCCCACCCCTGAACTAGACCATGACTTTCTGAAGGGTAGGGATTGTCAGTCTAGAAGCACTTGTTGCTTCCTAAAGGCCAGGCACTGTGCTAAGTACCGGGGGCGACACAAATTGAGGCAAAAACCAGTACTGACCTCAAGGAGTTTACATTCTAACGGAGCAGACAACATGGGGATAACTAGGGGCACACAAGGTATACACAGAGCTGACGATGTTAACCTGAGTAAGGAAGGCATTAACAGCTGGAGGACGGGCAAAGGTCTCCTGCAGGAGGTAGAATTTGAGCTTGGTTTCGAAGGCAGCCAAGGAAGCTAAGAGGTGGAGGTGTGTGTATGTGGGGGTGGCCTCTGTGTGGGTGTTCCTGGGGCAGGACACTCCAGGTATGGAGGACAGACACTGCAAAGGTGTAGACACGGGAGGAGTGCTGCCATGAAGCAATTGCAAATTAGCCAGATTACTGAGTGCCTGGAGAATAAGGTGAAAGAAGGCTAGAGAGTGAGGAGGGGTCCAGGTTGCCCAGAGCTTTAAATGCCAAGCAGAGCAGTTTATATTTGATCCCGGAGGGAGGTTAGGAGCTTGTTAAGGGGTGAGGGGTGACATGGTCAGACCGATGCAGCTGAGTTGAGGCTGATTGGAGTAGGGGGAGACCTTTGAGATTGTCCAGTCCAACCCTCTCATTTTACAGGTGAGGAAGCTAATACCCAGAGAAGTTAAGTCACCTGTCCACATAATTAGAAGGTCACTTAGCCAGTAAACTGCAGAGTCTGGATTAAAACCTAAGACCTCTGACTCTGGAAGTCGTGATCTCAGCATTTCATGTGGTGCCCTCACAGGGACATCAGGACCTTGCACACGGTAGCAATCCAGAAATGCTTTCTTAATTGAATTAAAAGAATGGACAAAACGTGGTGACTGTCTTCCAGCCTGGGAAAAGGACGGGGGGAGGCCTGGAGGGATACGGATCTTGGCAGTGGCTGTATGGTGGCCCATCCCTGCCTCTCCTAGGGACTGGGACCAATGCTTGTTACATGGAGGAGCTGTGCAATGTATCTGCTGTGCCTGGAGACAAAGGCCGCATGTGTATCAACATGGAGTGGGGTGCCTTTGGGGATGACGGCTTGCTCAAAGAACTCTGTACACCCTTTGACATTAGTGTGGACAAATCCTCCATCAACCCCGGCAAGCAGAGGTGCAGGGGCCAGGAAGGTGGGGAGGGCCAGGAGGCTAGGGTCGGGGGGGTGGGGAGGGGGATCCGGCAGGCTAGGCTGGAGGAACCTCCGGGCTGTGGGCTGGGGTCGGGGAGCGGGTTGGTGAGGAGAGGGGAGGGCCAAGGCTTTGTGGTTAACATCCCATCACTGACTCTCCAATTCCATGCCCACATGGGTCAGGTTTGAAAAGCTGATAAGCGGCATGTATCTGGGTGAGATAGTCCGCCAGATCCTCCTGCACCTGACTTGCCTTGGGGTCCTGTTCCGTGGCCAGGTGTTCCAGTGTCTTCAGACCAAGGATATTTTCAAGACCAAGTTCCTGTCTGAGATTGAAAGGTACCTGAACACCGCCCCCCCACACCCTGGCCCTGTTCATCTTGGGGACACACTGACGGCTCCAGTGATGATGCTGACTCTTCCCTTGGGTGAGCTGGGGAGGACAGCTTGGTGAAACAGGACCCCTTCTCCTAGCAGTGACCTACAGAGGCGGCAGGTCCGGGCTATCCTAGAAAAGCTGGGTCTGCCAGTGAGCTGCGATGATGCCCTGATGGTCCGGGAGGTGTGTCAGGCAGTGTCCCAGCGGGCAGCTAAGCTGTGTGGGGCCGGAGTGGCCGCTGTGGTGGAGAAGATCCGAGAGAACCGCGGACTGGAGGAGCTGAGTGTGGCCGTGGGTGTGGATGGCACCCTTTATAAACTACACCCCCAGTAAGGGTGGCTCTGAGGGGAGGGGGAGGGTGGGAGATGCCTGGCTTCTACTGGAGACCCCCCTGACCATCCCTCCTTCCCCCAGCTTCTCGGACCAGGTGAAAGACACTGTGCGACACCTGGCCCCACGATGCTCCGTCAGATTCCTGCAGTCAGAGGATGGGTCTGGTAAGGGAGCCGCCCTCGTCACTGCAGTCGCCTGCCGTCTGGCTGGATCTACTCGGCCTTGAGAGGACTGCCCTCTGTGGCCCTAGTCCAGCCGTGTGGGGCGGGATCAGGACCAGAACATTCTATCCGGGTCACACAGCCTCAGCCCCACATACTCCTCTGCTCCCTGATCTGTCAAAGGACCACTGGCAGGTGGCCTGATGACGGATGGAGCTCCTGGTTGCTTCCTTCTCCCTCCTCATCCCTCCCCATAGCCACTGGGCCATCCCTTCTGGCCCCTGGGGGCCTGTGCCCCCACAGAAGAGAGACCATTTAGCAATATATATCATTTATTTACATTATTCACGTCCGCTAAAATCCCTACGTGCCCGGCCGGGCAAGGCTGTATGTACATAAGGCCAAGTGTAAGTACTTGAATGCACTTTGAATACAGAATTAGAAAAAGAAACGGTCTTTACACAACACGCCCTGTGTGTGGGACACGGGGACAGGGTAGGGCTGGGCCTGCCCCGGCTCCAGGGACCAGGGACGGACACACTACAGCACAGACACTCGCCAATGTACAACGCATGACTCCCTTTGCATATACACCTGCCCCGCAGGGCCTGAGAAGAGGGCTGGGGAATGGAGGGAAGGGGCTGGGCTGGGCTGTGGGCCTAAAGCAGCCCTTAGCCAAGCTGGACCTGGCCCTCCCTGGCGCTCAGGGGGGACAGGGGTGGGGAGGGATTGGCTAGGGAGGGCGGGGAGGGGAGGAGAGAAGCAAGCCTGTGTCCCTGTGGGGATGGGAGTAGCAGCACCGCTGCCTGTGTGCGAGAGGCACGTGTGTGGCACGTGTGTGACATGTGACACTTGATGCATGTATGTGAGAGATGGGTGAGGTGTCTGGCGAGCAGAGTGAGCTACACGTATACTGTGGGTGGGGTGAGTGTACATGAGACATGTATCTATAATGTGTGACAGGTGGGGGAGTGATGAATGTGTGGGAGAGCACAGACAGAAGCCAGGCATAAGCCACTGGGTGTGGTTGGGTGTCCAGTCCCGAGCTGCCACACCATGGGCTGTGGCCCCTGGAGCTGACAACGATGACCCCGGTTTGGGCCCCCTCTCCCTGGTTGGGGGGAGAGGGGCCCCTCCTCAGATCTGCTCTCCCACCCCCACAGGCACAGAAATGTTTGCATAAGGCCCAGCTCTGGGTGGGCAAGGTGACCCCATTCCCTGACCCCTTGTGTTTGTGTCCATGTGTATGTGTAACCCCAAGGGAGGGGTGGAGGGAGAGGTAGCATGACACACACACGCAGACACACGTGCCATCTGCCTCCGGACCTGCCGAGATCCCTCTCCTGGCCCTGGGGGCAATTCTCTTCCCTCCTTTCCTTCCTGCTGGACTCAGCCCCCCTGGGTGATGCCGTGTCAATGACTGGTACCCATCCCCAACACACTAAAGGCCCAACCCGGGGCAGTAGGACGGCCAGGGAAGGAGCCCTTTGAGAAGGGCTGAGGGGAGTTAACTTGGCCCAGTCATGGCTGTGAGAAGGGGCTCCCTGGGCACAAAGCAAGAAAGGAGAGACACCAGAGGTGGGCATCGTTCCAGGGGTGCCACCCCCTTTCCCCACCTTGCCTCTGGCCCATGCCCAAGTCATATCCACTGATGCTGGTGCATGTGCAGGGAGCCAGTCCTGACCTTGGGCTCAGCACTCGGCCTCAGACACCATGAAGAGGGCAGTGTCCTGTTTGCCCAAGTCGGCCACAGCAGCGGCCAGCTGGCTGAGGTTGCCGTGGGGGAAGTGCCGGGCCTCCCATAGGTTGAGGATCATGGCGGTAGGGCTGGCCTTGGAGGCGAAGAAGCCGAGATGGCTGCAGAGGGAGAAGATGGTCCATTAGAAGCCCTGCCTTGTGGTCCTCCCCATCCTTAATTCCGGAGGGGCCCAACCCCACCTGGCAGTGGAAGGGATTCCTCTCCACTGATTCCTTTCCTACCTGCCATCTCCCAGATCGCCCTGAGAAAGGAGAAACAGGGAGAAATACTAAGGCCCTTTACTGTCTAAAGTGAGTAGAAGAAATGGGAAAGGATCCCAGGCAGACCCTGTGGACTCCAGTCTAAACAGGTCCATAAAACCCTCGACTAGTACTTGCTGACCTCCCAGCTCCGCCCACCTGTCCAGGTGCAGCTTCTGGGCCAGAGTTCGCCAGTCAGCTCCCCGGCCACAGGGGGGGTCGAGGCTGCTGATGATCTTCTGCCGGATGAGGAAGGGTATCTTAAAGGCACTGGGGCCCACCAGGGCTGGGACCCCCCCTTCACTGTCTGGAGCCAACAATTCAGCAAATCTTGTGTCCTGTGACAGAGAGGAATCCTGTCAGGTCCACATCTTTCCTGAGGGCCAGCTGAGTGCTCTCAAGCCATTCACCATCTGAGAACCCAAATGTGGTTCTGAAAGGGCTGGAGGAGTTTAGAGGTAGGATAATTCGTTGTGGGATAGTATGGTTAAGGAGGGCTTCTTGGAAGGAGGAGTCATCCGTTATGGGCCTTAAAGGATTATCTTGCATCCTGACAAATGAGAAGGCTGGACTAGGAGGATTTCCCTCCAGCTCTCAACCTGGTACTAGATAAGGGGAAGGGATGAGAGCAGATCTGGGGTGGGGATGACAACGAGGGGTCCTCACCCTCCTTCCCTCTCCCACCTTGTTGATGTTGAAGTTGACACTGAAGCTCTGCCCATCGCCCTCCACCTGCCAGATCCAGATCTTACAGGCTAGGTCGGTGGTGCTGGGGCTGAAGCGCTCCAGGGTAAAGGTACAGTGAAGGAACTGCTGGGCACCACCATTCCAGATGTGGTAGAACGGTATCTCCTGTGGGCGGGGAGGAGGAAAGCGTTTAGAACTGGGGAGCCTGGGGGTCCAGGGAGAATGCAGGGTTGGGGGACAGAAGGACTGATCACTGTACCAGGCCAAAGACTTCGTTCACTCTCAAGGGACGGTAAGTTTGGTGCTGGCACTTTTCAGAGTGGTCTCTAAGCCTGGAGGGGGCATAGAGTCATAGCACCCACGTCTGGATCACTTTAAGGTTGACAAAATGCATTTTTTTTTGACAAAACACTTTTCTTGTTCTGTGAGGTGTGTGGTGAAAGTATCATTGTTCTCATTTCAAAGAAGAGGAAAGTGAGGAAATAGACAGGCAGGGTAACTCCTTGTAATTCAGAAGTTGAGTTGTTTGTTTTTTTTTTTTCACCCACCTTTAAGATTTGACCTTTACCCCTATTAAATTTCAACACTTTAGTTTCAGTCCTGTGTTCCAGTCTGCAGGCATTTCTTTGAAAACCGACCAAGTCGGCTATAACGTGACTTTCCCAGACTATAGGGCATCTATGCCTTTATTCAAGTAACTAATAAAAGTGTTAAATTGCACAAGGCCAACAACAGATCCTTAAGGCACTCCACTGGAGACCTCTTGCCAGGCTTACAGCTCACCATTCATGATCACCGAGTCACAGAGACAGATGTGGTTGTGTGGAGCACCTTGACTAGCTGAGATTTGTAAAAGGCATGCTTTAAAGACCAAAGCAAGAGAACATGGCCAATGAGTGTAAGGAACACTAATATTCAGAAGGAGCTGAACAAAGCTGGGGATGAATGCCAAGGACAAAAGGGGTACAGCTGCTCTCAAGTCTGTGTTGGGGACCAATTCTTCCTGTGACGGATGACTGTGGGCTTCTGAGGACATAGAGTTGAGGACTGCTCAAAGGGCAATGGAAAGGAATATGGTGGGTGTTGGTATGTTGCAACACATCACAAATAAGAGATTTAAAAGATGTGGGGTAAGGGATGTCATTGGAGAAGCTTGTGATTGGGAAAAAATAATGAACTGGTCAGGTAAAGGATAATGAATGGGCAGCTTACATGCTGTACTTAATGCCAGCAGCACAAGAGGAATAAATGAATGAATGAGAAAAGCATTTATTGAGTGCTTACTATATACCAAGCACTGTACTAGGGATACAAATACAAAAGTGAGACAGTCCCTGCCTTCAAGGAGCTTACATTCTAACAGGAGGAGACAATACACATAAGAAGGAAAGGGGGCAGCTAGGTGGCGCAGTGGATAGCGCACCGGCCCTGTAGTCAGGAGGACGTGAGTTCAAATCATTTAACGCTTACTAGCTGTGTGACTCTGGGCAAGTCACTTAACCCCAACTGCCTCACCAAAAAAAAAAAAAAAAAAAAAAAGGAGGGAACTTCCCAACCCACTGGGTGAACTACCTGTGTTGGAGTTGTGGCAGGACATGGATAAGAGTTGCAGGGAGGAAATTGAAAATGCCAAGGAATATAGTAGCCAAATTCCCAAATTACCAGGTCAAAGAGAAAATACTGCAAGCAGCCAGAAAGAAACAATTTAAATATTATGGAACCACCGTCAGGATTACACAGGACCTTGCAGCTTCTACATTAAAAGGCCATAGGGCATGGAATATGATATTCCGTAAGGCAAAGGAGCTTGGATTACAACCAAGGATCAACTACCCAGCGAAAAGGAGCATGAATCTTTCGGGGGAAGAGATGGATATTCAATGAAATAGGGGACTTCCAAACCTTCCTGATAAAAAGACCAGAGCTCAACAGAAAATTTGATCTTCAAATACAAGACTCAAGAGAGATATAAAGAGGTATACGGGGCAGAAAGAAACCACATGTTATTAATAAGGGCAAACTCTTTACATCCCTACAAGGGAAGATGACACTTGTAACTCTTGAGAACTGTATTATTATACCATGTTAAAGGGGTATACATAAAGGGGGTGGGTATAAATTGACTTTGATGTAATGATGAAAAAAATCTAATCAAGTGGGTTAAATGGATCCAAGTAAATGAATTAATCTGATCTAACTAAGAAAATGTACTGGGAGAAAAGGAAAGGCAGACAAGGGTAAATTACATCACAGGAAAAGGCACAAAAACCTATTACAGCAGAGGGAAAGAAGAGAAGGAGATGAGCATTGTTTGAACCTTACTCTCATCAGATTTGGCTCAAGAAGGGAATAATATAATCAGTTAGGTATAAAAATCTAACATGCCCTATAGGCAGTAGGAGGGAAAAGGGGAAAGAAAAGGGAGGGGGCTAATAGAAGGGAGGTGGGACTGAGGGAGGTGGTGGTCAAAATCAAAACATTAGTGAGGAGGGAAAGGCAGAAAGGAGAAAGAAAACATAAACAGGGGGGAAAAGGATGGAGAGAAAGACACAGATAGCAATCATAATTGTGAATGTGATATATGAATGTAATGGAATACTATTGCACTATAAGAAATGATGACCAGGCAGACTTTAGATAAACCTGGAAAGACTTGTATGGTCTGATGCTGTATGGTCTGTTGAGGTGAGCAGAACCAGGAGAACTTTGTACACAGTAACAGTCACATTGAGTGATGTCTGACTTTGATAGGCTTAACCCCTCTCAGCAATACAAGGATCTAAGACATCACCAAAAGCCTCATGATGGAAAATGCTATCCACATCCAAAGAAAGAACTATGGAGTTTGAATGCAGATCAAAGCATACTATTTGCTATTTTTTTTCTTCTTTTGTGTTTTGTTTCCTCTTTTTGGTGGTTCCTCCTATTAGTTCTAATTCTTGCTTACACCATCACTAATGTGAAAATATGTTTAATAAGAATGTATATGTATAGCCTATATTAGATTGCACACCATCTTGGGGAGGGAAGGGAAAAATTTAAAACTCAAAAGCTTATGGAAGTGATTGTTGATAAATCAAAATAAATTAATAAAAAAAAAGTTGCAGGGAGGGAGAGGCAAAGATGTGTTGCTATGTGAATCACTAGAAGGAGACCCAAATCAATGAGATCACAGATCCCCTGGAGCCTGTATGTTGGGAGCAAGAAAAAGACCAAAGAAAGAGGAGAACCATTGTTAGGGGTGGATGGCACACTGGTGATGGACTGTGGAAGGCAGGACTTCTGGGTTCTTATGTTAGTTTTACAGTCTCTCCTAAGGAATGTGATCGTCAGACTGAGAAGAATTTAATAAAAATTGCTGATGGGGAATTAACACTGAAGACAATCCAGGAAACAGCAAGAGAGCAACAAGAAAGCTGTAATGAGTTCAAGTGAGCAGTCTCTCGGTCACTCGAAGTAAGGGCTGATGTGGATCATTAGTGATCTCTGAAAGACCAGGGAGATTTGAAAGTATGCTAACGGACTGGAGAAAGGCAACTGTCTTAATTTTCAAGAAAAGGAAAGAGGGTAGAGTTTAATTATGAGCTGGTAAAATGGACTTTTATTCCTGGAAAAATTCTAGAACATGCTATATTAAAAAGTACAGTTTGTGAGCTTTTAGAAAAGGAGGCAGTGGCCACTTTTTGTAGTCATCAAAGAACTAGAAACAAAGTAGATACCCACTGATTAGGGAGTGGCCAAACAAGGTATGGTATATGAAGGTAATGGACCATCACTGGGCCAAAACAAAGGATGTGAAGAATTCTGAAAAGCACAAGAATTATATAAATGATACAAAATGAAATAAGCAGAACCAAGAAAACAATATACTACAACAAAGAATGGGAGCAGCTAAGTGGCCAGGTCTGGAGTCAGAACAATTCCTCTTCCTGAGTTCAAATCTGGCCTCTTACACTAAATAGCTGTGTGATCCTGGGCAAGTTCCTTAATCCTGTTTGTCTCAGTTTTTTCCTACCTATAAAATGAGCTGGAGAAGGAAATGACAAACCACTCCACTATCTCTGCCAAAGGAAACCCCGAACAGGGTCACGGAGAGTCAGACATGACTGAAAAATGACTGAACAACAACAAAGAATGAAAACAAATCAATCAAGCATGATACTACAAAATGATAACCAAGCTCGTCCCCAAAGAAGAGACCTGAGATGTCACCTCCTGTACCTCTCTGCAGAGGAGAGGGAATATGAGTGCTGAACACTGCAGATGATGTCTTACTCTTTAATTCTTCGTAATAAGGGATTGCTTTCTGGAGGAGGATACGATGGAAAAAGGAGATGATATAAAAACAAAAGATTAGGAGATTTTTTTTTTAAAAGATGGTAATGATCACTAATCTTATGGAGAAGGAAATGGCAAATTGTTCTATTACCTTTGCCAAGAAAACTCCATGGATAGTATGGTCCACAGGTCACAAAGAATAGGACAAGACTGGACAAATGATCACTAAGACTCAGCGTGGATTCATTAAAACGGGTCATGTAAGACACAACAACTGGACCTATAGGCCAGGGTAGTGCCGTAGACAGAATCTGGTTCTTAGCACAGCATTTGACAGTGTCTCATGCTATCTTTGTGGATGAAATGGAGAGATGCTGGCTAGACAATAATACAATTAGACAAATTCCAAACTGGATGAAGGACCAGGCCCAAAGGTTAGTCATTGAAAAGCCAATAACCCAGAACCATGGAAGAAAAGTTCCACTGTCTCATAGGCCCTGGTCAGACCATATCTGGGACACAATGTTTGGTCCCAGGAATCATACTAGACATTGACAAGTTAAAGCCTATACAGAGTAGGGTAAAGCAGGATGGAGGGAGAATACTGAAGACTGATCCTTTTGACGATGTGTGGGAGGACTAAGGATGTTTAACCTGAAGAAGGGAAGACTTGGGGATTATTGGGGCCTTCCAGTAGTTGAAGAGCTGTCATGTGCAAGAAGAATTAATCAGCTGTGTTCTGCTTGGCCCCAGGGGACAAAACAAAATGCAAAGGATTCAGTCTAACTTCCTTCTAAGAATCAGAAGTGTCCAAAAGTGGGACAGGCTGCCTTGGAAAGGTTGGGAAATGCTGGAGGAGATAAAACCAGGGAGAGGTCAGTAGCTGGGTGTGCTTCTGAGACAGTAAGATGTTGGCCAGGTGTCTGTGCCAGGCTCAGATGCATGGGAAATGGGGACAGAGGTGGCTGGTTCCACAAGTGAGGCTACTGTCTACTGGTACATCAGGGGTCTTTATGATAAGATTTTACTTGTGGGCTTTGATCCCATATTTCTGGTGGATTTCACCTTTATTTTGCCTGCAATGTTAATGAAGAAAGCCCTTCTGAATGACCTACTCTGTCTAAAAGAAAGGGGTGGATGCCCTTTGGAACACAAGCGGACCATGAGTTCAGGACATCTTTTAGCTGGAGTCTGGGAGACGTTAGGCCTTTCAAGGGGGAGCCATGGTGGATTCTAGTGTAGAAATAATGAAAATTGGAAGAAAATTCTTAGTGGGATCTCAGCTGGAAGGTAGGACAGGGCAACAGTACCCTCCAGGCCACATGTGGCCTTCTAGGTCCTTGGGTGCAGCCTTTTGACTGAGTCCAAGTTTTATTGAACAAACCCTTTTATGAAGGGGATTTGTTCTGTGAAGTTTGGATTCAAAGGGCAACACTTGATGACCTAGAGGGCCACATGTGGCCTTAGGCTACGGGGTCCTTACCCCTGGTCTAGTCTAACCTCTCCTCCCCACTCCTACAAAGATCCCACCCTATGACACATGGCAGTGGTCATCTAACTTGTGACTGAAGATCTTCTGTGAGAGGGAGCTCATTATCTCTCAAGGCAGCTCGTTCCACCTCGGAATTTCTCCATTTGTTACCTCAAGTCTAAATCTGCCCCTCTCACTTCTGCTCAGCTACAGAGCCCAGTAGCCCAGCAAGGGAAGCGCCTAAGATCTAGAACAGCAGATGTTCTCTTCTGCAGGAAATACTAGCTAGGTAGCACTGGGTAGGATTTCTTGGGACCTGAACAGGAAGATGGAGGACTAAATGGGAGAGCCCACTTCCTGCAAGTCCCCTATTTCCCTAGGGGCAATGCTGTGGGTGGGCAAGGCCCCAGTTGCTTCCCAGTTGTAGGTGGGCATCCTTTGGTCTTGGTGGGATGCCCCCCCCATGGCACTACCAGTCTTTGGTGGACTAATACTCATCTGCCCCACGGAGGTGAGTCCCAGGTGAGGTCACATCCCCATCCCTCACCTGGTAGCTGACAAGCAGTTTGCTCTTCCACAGGGAGCTGGGCACGTCATGGATAGAGAGGCGCAGGTTGTGGTAACTGTCCTTGAAGTGGAGGACCCGGGGCTCCTCGATCAGCTGCCCCCCCATCTGCTTCTCCAGCTGGATCACCTCCTGCCCCACAGACAAGCCAGGCCAGTGGTCATGCTCCAGGGCACAACTACCTACAAGCTGGAAGGGTCCTCAGAGGCCCACACTCTTCTCCCTCCACACCCCCAACTCCCACCTGCACAGAGGAGCCCCCCATTACTGATGCTGCCATGGACAGGAGAGATGCCTGATTGTCCCTGGGGGTGGGAGGAGCGGGGTGCTCTTGGGCAAGGAGGAGTGGGGAGGCCTTGATGGGGCTGGGCCAGGCACCTTCAGCGCATCATGCGTGTCATGGAGGCAATAGACACGGATGGTGTATTCCAAGGAGGTGCAGGCCGTTGGGGCGAACAGCAGAAGTTTGAGGCGCTTAGCAGCAGCTGAGCTGAGGGCCTCCCCAACTAGGGCAAAGCGACCCAGCTGCTCTGTGAAGACATGGCAGGCTCGGGCCTCCAGCTGGCAGTAGTACAGGTGGGCAGGTGACTCCTCACCCAGGTGCAGCACATCCTGGGGGAGGGAGAGGTAAGGGGCACAGGTAACTCAGCTAACTCAGGCACCACCCTGGGGAAAGGGGGTCCTGCAGGGCTGCGGCTTGAGCTGTAGGGCTTTTATGTTAGGGTTACTAGCATCAATGCTCCCCTCCCAGGCCTTCCTTCCTCCCCTCCCACACTTGGACACCCTCTGCCCCTCTTCCTCCTGTCCCTCCTCAACCCTCCTGTTGTGTTTCTGGTCACTTGGGGTCTCTGTACCGTTGGGGGGGCCTACACCTCAGGGCCACTCACACTGGCCCCTCCTCATTCAGCTTCTCACCTCCCAGGTGCCCTCACAAGACTGTTTCTTGAGCCGCAGACTCCAGTTCTCGGGGCTGGGCTCCCCACAGTGGTCCATGGAAAGGATGACTGGCCGGGTGAGGAGGACTCCAGGAGGCCCGCAGCTAATGATGGGGCTCAGCAGGGTCTGGCAGCCAGCTAGGGGCAGCCTCAAGTAGGAAAATATGGCACAGGGGAGGGGAGGAAAGGCATCAGTGGGAGAAGGGCAAAGGACTGAGTAGCAATGATGTCATTCCAGGGGAATGATAGGCAAACTGCACCAGGCTGAGTGCTGCCCCTCCCACAGCTCCCTGGACAGGTTAAGAGCCCCTAGCAGATGGACTAGGCCAGGCCAGTGACAAAGGAGTCATGCCAGACTTGGAGTTGGGCAGGGGTTGAGGAGGACTTGGCTGGAGCAGGGTGGGATGGGGGACCCAGCTGAGCCTCCTTCTCCCTTGGTGGACAAACCTCCCCTCTTCCCCTCCCCTGCAGGGCCCAGGGCACATCCACACCTCACATCTTCCTGCTTGTGCAGTGTGAGGTAGATCTCGTAGATCTTTCCCCGGGGAATGGCATCTGGAGGGATCAGGAGGCTGATTCCTGGAGGTTGGGAAGGTAGTCTTGGTCTCTACAGTTACCCCATCATCCTCGTCTCCCCTCCCCTGTCCCCTTCAAACATCTCTGCATCAGAATCCATAAAGAAATACTTTCTCTCCTCATGGATGGAAAATTGTGCTGTTTCTACTGTATAAAGTCAGTTTCTCCCACCCATAGTCAAAGTGCTGGATTTACAGTCATAGTATTATGGATTTAGAGGTGGACCTTAGCGGTCACTGAATCCAACCCCTTTACTTTACAGATAAGGAAACTGAGACACAGAGAGGTTAAGTGACTCGCCCAGAGTCACAGCTGGTACATGTCTGAGGCAGGATCCTGCCTCCAAGTCTGATCAGCTCTATTCTACCCATGCTGCCTCTCCGAGGACCTCACTTCAAAAACCAGCCCTGCTACTTCTGACCTATGTGGCCTTGGATTAAGTCACTTCCCTTTCCTGAACCTCAGTTATTTTCTCTGTAAAATAAAGGGGTTGGACTATCTGATCTCTTATGTTCCCTTCTTACTTTAAACTCATTAGCCTGTGATTCTAGGAGGTCACACACTGGAGGGGCTGAGGGGCAGGGAGGGAGAAGAGAACATGAATAAGTCTTCAGGGAGAACCCAGGTAAGTGGCTGGAACAGCTGTCGGCCTCCACTCAAGCTATTGTTCCACCTCTCTCCTCCCTTTCACTGCTAAACTCCCAGAAAGAGCCGTCTCCACTGCCAGCCTCCACTTCTTCACCTCCCACCGGCTGCCTGAGTCCGTGCAGGCTGCCTTCTGACCTCACTGCTCAGATCAAACTGCTCTCTTCACCGCTGACTCTGATGGCCCTTTCTTGGTCCTTCACTTCTGGAGTCCATGACTTTCTAACTCCTTAATTTCACTGCATTGATCTTTCCCCTCCTCCTGGACATGCTCTGCATGCCCTTGGATTCTGTGACAATTGTGTTTTCGACAGTTCTCAGCCAGCTGTCGGGCCGTTCCTTCTCAGTACCCTTTGCTGGGTCACATCCCTCTCCTGTCTCCTGAGGGTGCGTGCTGCCCAAGGCTTGACCCCGAGTCTCTTTTGTCTCTATACATTCAGGTTCCTTTCTCTGCTTGGTGATCTCATCAGCTGCTATGCGTTCATACATCATCTTGATGCTGACAGTTCCCCAAAGTAAGTATTCAGCTTGTCAATTTCTTGAACTTGGGTCTCACATCACCAGTCCCCGACAGGACATCTCCAAATAGATTTTCCATTGGCCTTTCAAACTCAACACAGCCAACTTATCACCTCCCCAACTACGTCTTCCCCAAGCTTTCCTCTTTCTATGGAAGCCACTCCCATCCTCCCAGTCACCCATGCTGGCAATCTCAGCGTCATCCATCACTTCTCCCTCTCTTTTACTACTTCCCTAGCTGGTCAGCTGCCAAGCCCCAATGCTTCTCTCTCTACATTATCTTTTGTGTCCATCCCTCCTTTCACCTCACAGACACCCCGCTCATTCAGTCTCTCACCTTTCACTCGGACCACGGTAATAGTCCCTCAATTGGACTCCCTGTTTCCAAACTCTTTCCCTCCAATCCATCCTTCAAACAGCTACCAATAATCTTCCTAGGGCACATGTCTGACCATGTTACTCTCCTTGTCAAAAACCTTCAGGGATTCTATATTGCCTTTGGAATAGACAATGGCTTTATGGGCCCTCCATAATCTGACACCAATCTACCATTCAATCCTCATTTCGTATTACTTGTTGTTCAGTCATATCTGACTCTGTGACCCCATCTGGGGTTTTCTTGGCAAAGGTACTGGAGTGGTTTGCTATTTCTTTCTCCAGCTCATTTTACAAATGAGGAAACTGAGGCAAACAAGGTGAAGTGACTTGCTCAGGGTCACACAGCTAGTGTCTGAGTTCAGATTTGAATTCAGGTCTTCCTGACTCCAGGCCAGGAGCTCTATCCACTGCACCACCTGGCTGCCCTAATGAATATCCTTCAGAAGCCAGAGGGAAAGACATAGCATAGCAGAGTAGAGAGAGCATGGATTTGGAGTCAGGGGTTATGGATTCCAATCCTGGCTCAGCCATTTCCTATCTGTACAGCCTAGGGCAAGTCAATCCTTCTAAGCCTCAGTTTCCTCACTGGCAAAAATAATGAAGGAGAACTAAACAATCTCCAAGTTTCCTCCCAAATCTAAAATTCTGTTATTTCCATGAGTTTGGAGACTCCCAGGAACTGTTCAATGGAGAATGCCTGGAAAGAAGGAAAAAGGGCAACTATCCATTCAGGGCAGGACAGTCAAAGTACTCCTGAGGGGTCCACTTTCCTTCTCCAGGAGACCAGGAGCTAAAGGCACGGGTCAGGCAACCACAGCCTGGAGCACCGAGGTTATCAGACAATAAAGTAATCTATGGAAAGTGGCTTGTAAATCTTACAGCACTATGTGATAGCACATAGTAATTACTATCAGAGAAAAAAATATCATCTGGGACCAGAGATGAAGACCCAGGGGCTCCATGTGTGCAGAGAAAATTGGTAACTCAATTCTTGGGAGATGAGGAAGACTGGAGGATCCCATAAGATCCCAGCAGCAGTGAAATCTTGGTCGAGCAGAGACCAGAACAGTAAGTGGCAAAACTAGGATTCGAATGCAGGTCAGCTAAGTGCAAATCCAGTACTGTTTCCCATTGTCTTCCTTGATCCCTGGGAACTCTGGTTAGCAGCCTGGCCTGCTTTATGAATGTTACCACCCCTTCGAGCTCTAAATCTGTGATCCCATGTGATCTGGGCCTCCTACAGCCAGGTGGTGCAGCGGACTACTACAGCTAGGTAGCACAGCGGATAGAGTGCTAGGTGTGGAGTCAGGAAGACCTGAGTTCAAATCCAGCTTCAGACACTTACTTAGCTGTGTGACCCTGGGCAAGTCTACCTCTATCCGCCTCATTTCCTTATCTGTAAAATGGGGACAATAATAGCACCTACCTCATAGGGTTGTTGTGAGGATCAAATGAGGTAATACGTGTAAAGCACTTAGCAGTGCCTGGCACATAGTAGGTGCTACGTATATGTTAGTTATTATTGAGCACGATCCCAAATACTGTGCAATCATCACTGAAGCCTGTCTGACAAGGTGCTGGCTTTCTAAGACACACGTACATGGGACAGTAACTCCCATGCTGATCGAGGATACTTTTGAATTCACAAAATACCTTCCTCATCATAGCCCCGTAAGTACAGAGCACAAGGAGTATTATCTTCATCTTACAGATGAGAAACCTCAGAGAAGTTGAGAGATTTGCCCAGAGTTACACTGTGAGTATGAACTGTATAAGTCACACTGTAAGTGTGCAAGGCGAGATTTAAACCCAGGACTCTGGACTCCAGCCACTGTACCACGCCGAGAACAGAACAATGGGACAGTGATACCGTGATCTCCTGCAGCAGAACTGGAGGCTTTTGAGAGGCCTTATAATCTAGTGACTTGGCACTTTGGTCAACACTTCAAACTCTTGTCTGGAATGCCTTAAGAAAACAGAAGGAAAGGCTGCATGGGCTTGTCTCAGAGATGGCGTGGAGGCCCGCACCCTGATCCACAGGGAGGAGAGAAACCCAGGTGGGAGGGGGCGGGCTGCACGGGGTGCGCAGGTCAAGCTTGGGGGTTCCCACGGTCCTCATCTGTGAAAAAGGTAACACGTCCTACCGCCCAGGGTGGATGTGAGGGTCAAAGAAAATAATGTCCCTAAAGGACTTTGAGAGCATGACAGAAGGAGGCATGGTACGGCACCATTACAGCACACTGATCTTGCAGTGCACCAAGACCCCCAGCTTCTTTTCACCTGGACTAGTGTTTAGCACATCTCCACGACTATTTTGTACTTGGGGAATGGATTATTTGAACTCAAGTGGAGTACTTTACGTTGATCGCTGTTAAATTTGGCCCATATTCAAATATTTCATCATTTTTTCTGGATCCAGATTCTGTCATCCATGGGTGGGTTAGTTGAGCTTCCTGTCATCTGCATATTTGATAGGAATGTCATGTATGCCTTTAGAGGCCACTAGATGGAGCAGTGGATGGAGCGCTGGGCCTGGAGACTTCATGTCAAATCTGTTCTCAGACACTAGATCTGCGTCTCTGGGCAAGTCAATTAACCCCTGTATGCCTCAGTTTCCTCAACTGTAAAATGGAGATAATAATAGCACCTACCTCCTACAGTTGTTGTGAGGATTAAATGTCAAATGCTTAGTGCAGTACCTGGCACATAGTAGATGCTTCATAATTCCTTCTGTCCATCCTCTCTGCCTTCCTCCCCCCTTCTCCTTTTTTCTTGCATCCTTCCTCCTTTCCTCCATTCTTCCCTCCCTCCCCCTATCCTTCTTTTCTCCTTTCCTTCCTTCTTTTCCTCCCTTCCTCTGTCCCTCATAAAAATGTTGAACAGGAGAAAGCCCTGTTTATTACAGACCTCTCTCCAGATTGAAATCCATCAAAGGAACCAGTATGTTATGGCACGACATTCTTAGTGAACCCATGCTAGCCTCAGCGATCACTGCTTCACTTTCTAAATGTTCAGAAGTGCTTTTGTGGTCCCAGCAATGAGCACAGAGTCACTCAGACGCAGCCTTAGGAAGCGATGGTGGGGTCTGGGTTCCATCAAAGCCAGGGGAGGCAACCAATGATGTTGATTATTACATAGGGTTACACAGATAGTAGAGTGGAGACCAGTATTTGCGCTCAGGTCTTCTGACCCCAAGTCTAGAACCCTTTCCATAATAGTACCTCTTACTCTCCCACATCTATACCCTTCCCTCTTGTTCCTCCCCTTCCTGTCGGATGCTGGCCATGGCCTGACGAGAGAGTCTCCCCATCACACAACAAGTCCTACCTGTATTGGGAATCATTAGCCGTCCCCCCAGGAAGTTAAAAGTCCCATAAGCCATGTTGCTGGCCCCCCGGGGCAGGGACCGGAAGTAGTTCTGGGTAGAGAGACGGGCGACGAAATCCTCGGCCTCAGAGGCGGGTGAGCTGTGGTGCAAGGTGTGCCGGCCACTGCCCAGGGGGCTAAGGAGATGCCCATTGGTGAGCTGGAACTTGGGGCCAGAACTTTCCTGCCGAGGGCACAGGGTGCCCTGGTACGTAGTGGTTGTGGTGCTGAGGTCTGGCTGGATGGTCAGCAGGTGAGAGTTGTCTGTTAGGGAAGGAAAAGAGAAAAGGGGGGAAGAATTACAGAATGAGAGTGAGAAGGTACCTCACAGGTCTTCTGGTCCAGCAGACATCCCCTCTGCCACATCTCTAATATGAGGCCATCCAACTTTCTCTTGAAGACCTCCAGGGACGGGGAGCTTACTACCTTCCAAGGCAGCCTGTTTCACTCTTGGGCAGCTCGAACTGTCAGGAAGTTTTTTCCTTATATCGAGCCGAGGTCTGCTTCTCTGCAAACCCCTGCTGCCCTTGGTGCTTCGTTCTGGGGGCTGAACCCCTCCTCCCATGGCAGCTCTTCACATGCCTGGAACCAGTTACCTAATTCCCCCCTTTTCTGAAGGGTCTCCTCTCCTTCAGACAAATATTCCCACTGCCTTCCATACGACAGATTTCCATACAAATCAAACTCCATCTTATCAGTCAATCCATCAGTCTACACACATTTAAGCACTTAATATGTGTTCAGCACTGTGCCAAGCCCTGGGGGTACCAAGAGCTGCCCGCTGTCCCTAACCAAAAACAACCACCACCCGAAAGGACAACCCCTGCCCTCAAGGCGCTCACAGTCCACTGGAGGAGACGACCTCCGGCCCCCAAGTGCATCCAAGACACAGAGAGAGGAGGGACAAGGCAACACTGGTAAAACATGGTCCCCTAAACACAAGGCACTATTCCAATGAGGCCCGACGGGAATGGGGGCAGGAGAGCGGGGTGATCTCCTTCTTTTACTGCTTTCTAAGACACATTTAACTCTTGGGTGCCACGCCACATTACTTACTCAAACTGAGCTCCTGGATGTGGAAGCCCAGCTGTCCTACTTACTCCAGTGCCCCATTTGACAATCCCCACTCTGCCCTTCAAGCCAGCAACCAGACTGAATATCGTTCCCCATGCTCTGCTAACTGGCACACAGAGAAACGAGTGCTGCTGCTGAACTTAATCTACTAAGTAACTGAGTGAGGATTGCGGGGACAGCAAGGTGGCGCAGAGGAAAGAGCGCCAGGCCTGGAGTTGGGAAGACTCATCTTCTTGAGTTCAAATCTGGCCTTGGACATTAACCAGCTGTGTGACCTTGGGCAAGTCACTTCATCCTGTTTGCCTCAGTTTCCTCATCTGTAAAATGGGCTGAAGAAGGAAATGGCAAACCACTCCGGTAGCTTTGCCGAGAAAATCCCAAATGGGGTCACCGAGAGCCAGCCACAACTGAAATGACTCAACAAAAACAAGGTGAAGGTCAGCCCTCAGACCCTTGGAAGATGGAAGGGGCTGTGACAGATTGTGGCAGGAGCACCAGACTGGCAGGAAAGGAGGTAGAGACCCTAGCCTTAACTCGCCAAGGATAATTGTTACCACACTTTAAAGTTCATGAGAAGATTTCCTCACACCGCAGTAAGTCAGGTGGTAGGAGCCGTCATTATTCCCGTTTTACGGACAACCGAATCATGGCCGGGAAATGACATGATTTGCCCAGGGTCACAGAGCCATCTAAGCGGCAGGTGGCAACGCCGGGTCTGTTTCTCTTTTCCAAGTTCGCCTGGCCTAGGAAAGCCCGCGGGAGACCCCAAGTTCCAATTCTGGGCCCAGGTCACTCCCGCCCGCGGGCCCCTTCGTCAGCCCCATCTCGTGAGCGGAGGCCGTCCGCCCGTGGGCGGCTTGGCACCAGCCCCAGGGCTCTGGAGAGGCCTTGGCCAGGGTGGGCCCGGCAGGGTGACCTCACCTGCCTTGGCGGGTTTGATGCCGACGGGCTGGAAGCCCGACGTCAAGATGGACGAGTCAGCCACGTCTGAGTCTAATCCCTCTTTCTTCCGGCAATAGACCAGGACGAGGACGAGCAGGAGGAGGACCAGGCACACAGCCACAGCGATGAGCCCCACGTACAGGGCCACGTCTTCTGGGCCCGAGGCGTCTGTGAGAGGGAGCAGAGTAAGAGGTGGAGCGGCTTCTGGCTGCCCAGCCCCCGCAGAGTGAGCATTGGAAGAGCTCACGCTCCACAGGGCATCCAGACTGGGTGTGTGGGGGGGGAGTCAGCCTGCACTTACCAGGGGTGCTGACTCTGGCTGAGAACAGCAACACGGTGCAGGAGAGTTTGGAGCCTTCCTGAGTCCCAGTCTCAGATCAGCTACTAATTTGAAATGCATGACCTTGGACGAGTCACCTCCCCACCCTAATTACATAAGCTGGGTTAGAGAATTTCTATGATTCCTTCCAGTTCTGTGTTCAGAGTCCTTTGAGCTCTGACATTCTACATCCTTTGAAGATGCTTTCCAGCTCCAAGTGTGATTCTATGACTTGGAAGAGTCTCTACAGTCAAGGAGGGGACAGAGGGAGGCAAGCTCACATCTTCACCGGGCCCAGGAATAGGCTCTGAAGACCAGTGTACTGTGGTCTGTGGCAGAGTCCTACGGAAGCCTGTACCCCTTAGGAGGGGCCTGACACCGGGCTGGGGGTCCCTCTGGAGGGCTCAGCCTCTGTCCTTCCCTCCTGCTTCTTATATTTTCCTTCTCCCAGGTACATGACTGGCCATCTTACTTTGACTCGGGGGCTGCTGGGGGTGTGTGAAAAAAGCCCATGGCAGAGTGTGGGGCCTGAAATGGGATTTAGGTTGGGGGTGGGGGTGGGAGAGAGCGGAATAGAAAGGACACGGGGCCCTGGTGGGGAGAGGTAGGATTAGCTGTCTGGAGGAATCAATATTGATTTTAGTGGGAATCTGCATAATGGAAGGAAGGTCCATCAGGAAGGAATTGACACAGATAATTAGGTTTTTAATTGAAAGCGAAGGTGGGGGTGGGAGGAGGAGGTTGTTTCAGGGAAACATCACATTAGAACCTTTGTGTTCATGACATTGGCCCAGAGCTGCCATCCTTTACTTCCTCCCCCCTCAAATGCTCTGACATGATGGGAGGCGGCATTGGGGAGGGAAGGTCTCCCAGATCATGGATTTTGATCTAGAAAGGACATTAGGAGTCATTCAGTCCAAATCCATCAATCTCCAGGTGAGGAAACTGAGGTCCTTAGAGGTTATGTGAGTTTCCCAAGGTCACACAGTAGCAAAGCCAGGATTCAAACCCAGGTTCTCTGGCTCTCAATCCAGCTCTCTTTCCGTCATACCACTTAGGGCAGGTGCAGGGCTGCTACGGGGGAGATATCGCCACTGTCCAGTTCAGGGGCAAGGGACTGAGAAATGAGGGTACCTCAGACTCCTAAACCCAGGGAGACCCCACTGAGCAGCGTGATGGGGGAAGGGCTTTAGGGACACAGCCTAGGGTCAGGGTGGTGAGATCTGCGAGCGTCCAAGAGGAGCTGGGCCAGGTGACTGAAGAAATGGGGAAACCCATCTCAAGTTGACAGAGACTTGAGGTGGGGCTGGGGTAGGAGAAGGAGACCCTTTGCCCAGGAACACAAGGCTGGGTGGGACTCAAGGCAAGGTTGGGGTGGAAGGAGAGAAGGGATTGATGTGTGTGGGACTTATAACGAGGGAGGAATGAGGGGAGAAGCCTCAGGGGGAAGTTTCACGGTACTGGAGTCAAGGAGGAAGTTCTCATTGCAGTGGAATGGTTATTGTTCAGGAAAGCCTCCCTATTTGGGGTGAGGTGACATTATGGGAATGCTCACTGTGGATGCAGAGGTCACTGGTGCAGTTGCGGGTGTCCAGGTCGGCTCCTTCGCATTCTTCCCCACCGTTACGGGGCGGGGGCTCGGAGCATTCCCGGCTCCTCCAGCGGGTACAGTCCAGGGCGCAGGCCGACCACTTGCTCCACTCAGTCCACCCTCCGTCTACTGCACACGTGAGACGGGGACACCAGACAGAGGCAAAGAAGAAACAGTCAATGCCTTACCCACAGGGGCAGGACAAACTCACTTCCCCCTATTCCACCTCTCGCCTCAGGTGAAAAAACAAAGGATATCTCAGAGAGTAGGTGCTGAAAACACCAGGCCTATGCTTGTCCATCTGAACCATGGAGAGTGGAGCAGGGAAGGCGGTCGGCAAACATGATGGCGGCGGCTGCTGCAGGCGAGGGCTAATGGAAGTGGGAGGTGGTATGATGCCAGGGCCGGTGGGCAGAGTCTGGGCTAGGTGTGGTCAGCAATGAGGGCAATGGGATGCCAAGGAACATCCATCCCCTGGATGAAGAAGCAGGGCCTGGCTGGACACCCTGCTGGCTAGGACTCAGAACCGATTAGCCTGACATCCTGTACTTAATCGTCATTCAGGTCTGTGAGTTCCTCTGTATTCCAAGGCAGCAGTCAGACTCTGACCCCACACGAATTCCTGATCCTAGAATCATGAATTAAGCCCCGAGCTCTAAGCCCTGTCCCAGAAGGACCCTGTGAGGAGATGGTCTCCCCTTGGCTGAAACCTCCTGATTTTCCAGTCTAAGACTACAAGCTTGAGCTTTCACATAGCTAGCACTTCCTTGTCTTAGTTACCTTTATCAAAAGATGCAACTGTGGCTATCTGCTTTTATAAGGTCAGCAATGAACATTTATTTCCATAGGAACAGTTCTGTCCTTGGCCTTCTCCTCTCTTCCTTAATAATTTCATCAGCCCCTTTGGTTTTAATTATCACCTCAATGTGGATAAATCCCAAATCCACGTCTCCAACTTTAACCTTTGCCCCAAGGATCTCCTGTCTTGGATCTCCGAATGGAAGACGAGCATCTCTAGCCCCATTTCTTTCTTTTTTATTTTTAGTGAGGCAATTGGGGGTTAAGTGACTTGCCCAGAGTCACACAGCTAATAAGTGTTATGTGTCTGAGGCCGGATTTGAACTTAGGTCCTCCTGACCCCAGCACTGCTGCTCTGTCCACTGTGCCACCGAGCTGCCCCCATCTAGCCCCATTTCATAGAAGAGGGAATGGAGGCTAACAGAAGTCTGCCTAGTGTCACAGATCTAGGAAGTGTCTGAGTTGCCTAATTAGAACCCCGGTCTTCCTGGCTGCAAGTCTAATGGCATTCATTATATCATGCTGCCCTTCGAATGATACCAGCGCCTAAAACAGAATTAACTTCTCCCCAGAAGCTACCCCTTTCCCTGTAATATCTCTGTGGATGGTACCACCATCATTCCAGTCATTGAAGCCTGAAACCACCCAATCATTGACTCTTCCCTCTCCTTCACCTGCTGCCCCCCAATCTCCCCCACCCCCCATCCAATATGTCGCCAAGTTAGGTTGATTCTCTCTGCAGTATCTCCTGCGTTTGTCTTCTTTCAATTCTCACTGCAGCTACTACTCCCAGTTCTTCAGGCCCTCACCTCTCCTTCCCTAGCCAACAGAATGAAATAGAAATTCCTTAGTGTGGCCTCCCATAACCTAGCTCCCACCTACCTGCCCGGCCTTCTCTTATGCCTGCTTCTGGGGGAAACTCCAGCCTTGGTACTCATTTCTTGATACCACGTGGAAGGTGGGGCCACATTATGGCCTTGTTCTCATCCAGCTCTTCTGTCCTGGGCTCACACTGTCCTCATGCTTTGAGCTGACCTAATGGCCTTTTCTCCACCTTGAGGCCTGGCTCAGGTGCATCTTATCTTCCCTCACCCCAAGGTGAAGGTGCTTTTTACCTCCCAAGGTTCATGGTGCAGAGCTCTGCATTGCCTTTATCTATTTTATTTTATTTTTAGGCAATTGGGGTTAAGTGGCTTGCCCAGGGTCACACAGCTAGTAAGTGTCAAGTGTTTGGTCTGAGGCCAGATCTGAACTCAGGTCCTCTTGACTTCAGGGCTGGTAGTCTATCTACTACACCACCTACCTGCCCCTCATTGCCTTTATCCTAATCTCTGTTATTGCATCATTGTTCTAGTACCTGCCTGCCTTCCCTTCCCCATTAGATTATAAGCACCTGATTACTGGGGCCTGCTTCATTATCATCTTTAAACCTCTGGTGCCCAGTACAGGGATTCATACACATAGTAAGTGTTTGCTGCTCTGGACTGTAACCCTGCCTGCCCAGGCCCCAGGCGACTGTGGCTGGAGAAGCTGGAAGTCCCTGCTTGGTGGAAATAACAGCTCCCAATTCTACAGCACACTACAACCAGGAAGTCAGTGTTGCAAATGGCATTGTGTCCACTTTACTCACGAGGAAACAGACTCATGGAAAGGATGTGGGCTTATCCAAGTTCCTTGAGAGTGTGAATTGTTTCACCCTTGCTACTTGTACATCCAATATGTAGCATGGTGTCTGGCATACAACAAATGTCTGAGAGATGCTTGTCAACTGGTGGACTGACAGTAAGTGGCACAGTCTGGAAATGAACCTAGCCTCTCCACCCTGGAGCCACACTTTTTCCTGCACTGTTTCTACCTCTGGGAACAAAGTTGCTGGCAATACAGAGTGTCTCCAGCAGTGTCATGGTTTCCTGCCATCCCAGAACAGGAAGACTCCAGGGGTTAAGGACAAAGTTCATGTCACACCCGCCCCCAGTACTCTGTGAACCCTAAGGGCAGGCACTAGGTTTCACTTTTGTCTTTCCCCAGTGCCCAGCAGGAGACCCCTCCCATGGGTGTCCCTTAATCAATGTGTTAAATTGGGAAGGTATTCTTGATCCACTCTCTGCAGCTGCTCTAGGTCAGACCTAGGTCTGCCCATGCTTCCCTCTTACTCAATTAACTCTGAGGTTTCCCTATCACCTCTGGAGTAAATCTAATTTCCTCTGTTTGGCACATAGCACCTTATACCACTTGGTCCCAAACCTACCTTTCCAGCCTTCTTACACATTATTCCCCTTCACATATCTATGGCCCAGCCAAACTGGCCTTCCTCCTCTTCCTCACCCAACACATCATTTCCTTCCCCCGTGCCTTCTTTGTTCTGGCCCTTCCCCCTGCCAGGAATGCCTTCCCCCCTCCCCCCCCACAACATTTTTTTTCCCTCCAAACCCTCCCCACACGCCCCCCCCTCTAAAAACCCTTCCCGGGCTCTCCCCCCCCCCCCCCCGCCCCCGCAATGGCCTTTAGTGTGTATAGACTATATGCTATACTATATACTGAGGGCAGGAGCTGGTTCATTTTTTATCCTTGTGTGCACAGTCTCTGGCACCGGGTAGGTTCTGAATGAATCAGGGGTGGGGAACCTGTGGCCTCGAAGCCACATGTGGTCCTCTAGGTCCTCAAGTGGGGCCCTTTGACTGAATCTAAACTTCACAGAACAAATCCCATTCATAAAAGGATCTGTTCTGTAAAACTTGGACTCAGTCAAAAGGCCGCAACCGAGGACTTAGACGACCACAGGTACCCCACCCCTGGAATAAATGCTTGTTGTGAACGAATGTTGCTGAGGGCTGAGGAAGAGACTGTGGATGGCTGAGACTGTGGATGGCTGAGTAGGGCCCTCCCTACAATCATCTGATGGTCTGTGCCCAGCTGTGCCCTGGAACACCATCTGGGGCTAAGAAACAACACCCCTATGCTGTCAGTGTCATACCTCAACCTGACTCTCTTGTGTAGATGCATCCAACTACTGGTCCCACACTGACCACACGTAGCCGAGCCCTACAGCAACCCCAGTGTGACAGCATGAGGGACACTTCTCCACCCTTGCCCACTGTGGGCACCTCTTCCTTCTCCTCATCATTCTTCCCTGACTTCCTGTTCCTTACACAACCACATACCAACTCCCCGATTTGAGGCAGCCCACCAAAGAGCTGGACAGGTTGAACTGAGGCCCCAGGGACACAGAGGGGATATGCCAATAGGGCTTTGGGATCGATGTTCTATGCAGAAAAATCAATTCACAAAAGACAGGCCAGAGCCCAAGGGCACTGGGCCCAGAGCCCAGCTCTGGTGCTCAAACACTTGTCTACTTATGGAATCGAACACAAAATGCCACAGATGGAAGGAAGCCCAGAACATAGATGCTAGATATTGAAAAGGCCTTAGAACACAGAATTCAGAGCTAGGAGGGACCTTAGAACAAAGAATGTCAGAGCTGGGAGGGAGCTTAGAGTACAAAATGTCAGAGTTGTAAAGGATCTTAAAACAAAGAATGTCAGAGCTGGAAAAGAATCTTAGAACACAGGATGTCAGAGCTGGAAAGGACCACAGAGCTTAGAACACACAGAATGCAGAGAAGATCAACCCATTGTTTACAGGTAAGGAGAAGGAGGCCTATAGAAGACTGGTGGTACAGCCAAGACTAGACCCCAAGTTTCTAGCACTTTCTCCATTGACTTCCTAGCATTAACACCTAATGAACTGATCTTCTTCTGCCACTTTCCCACCTTATATCTTTTCTGTCTGAAGATATGATTTCTCTGGTCTTGGTGCCAAGGAAACCTCCAAAGGACATCCCTCTAGAGCCATCCCTTCTCATGGAAGAGGTTCAAAGGCAAGCAGAGGATTTAGAGCACTGGCTTGGGAGAAACAGATGTGGCACTGAGAGGTAGTAGCCAAGTCTCCTTCTCAACAGATGGAGCCCACCATGCAGATCTGAAAACCTGGTCTCCCCCTGTATCCAGTATTGCTCTTGGGGACAAGCCATACATTCATTTATACCTGGTGCTACGGAGGATTGGCACGCTATGGAGCACCAAAGTGGAACCCAGAGGAAAGAAGCACTAATGGGGGGATTTTAGACACTGTAACAAGACCTGAATTCATCTAGTCCAGCAAATATCACCTTAATGCTATCACCAATATTTAGCCTCTACTCAAAGGCTTCCAGTGACAGGAAATTCTTTACTTACTAAGGTAGAGTCCATTCCAACTTCTGGACACCACTAATAGCTAAGGAATTTTCCCTTATGTTCAGTCTATATTTCTCAGCTTTTCCCTACAGTTTCTAATTGTGCCCTCAGAACAAATGTGAGCCCTCTTCTCCAAGACAGCACTTCAGATTCTTACTAATAACTGTCATAAAGTGCTTTGAGGCTTGCAAAATGCTTTACAAATATTACTTCATTTTATCATCACAAAAATCCTGGGAAGTAGGTGCTATAATTATTCTCATTTTACAAATGAGGAAACTGAGGCAAACAGAGGTCAACTGACTTGCCCAGGGACACACAGCTACTTAAGTGACTGAGGTGAGATCTGTACTAGGGTCTTTTTGACTCCAGGCCCAGAGCTCTAACCACTGCACCACTCTGCTGCCTTTATCACGTACCTCACAAACCCTTAGTCTTCTCTTTTCCAATCAGTCTCCGCGTGGCACGTTCTCCAGTACCTTCACTATTCTGACTGTCCTCCTTTGGACATGTTTGCTAATGTCCTTTTTTAAAGTACAGTGTCCAGAACCGGACATACTCCTTCCCAGTGGGGACTTGACCAAGGTAAAGGACATCAGCCCTGCCATCCTGAGCTAAAATGGCCTCTGGCCCACCTGCCTGGCCTGAATGGTGGGACTAGTGTGATGGAGGCGGCTGAGCGACCGATGCAGGGTGGCCATGGTGGTGGAGGCGAGGGGCCAGTACCTGGGCACAGGGTGGCACAGGCGGTTTTCTGGCCGCTCTGGCCCTCACAGAAGGAGCCCCCGTTGAGAGGTGCCGGGTTGGTACAGCTCCGGCTGCGTTTCTGCCAGCCTCGCCCACAGGTGGCACTGCAGGCTGACCACTCCGTCCAGGTCGACCACCCACCGTTCACTGGTGTGGGACAGAGAAGGGACTGAGATCAGCGAGGCCCGAGGCTCAGCATGGAGCCCCTCCCTAGGGTGGGCTTGGAGGTGCACATGTTGGGGTCAGGAACTCTGCAGAGGCAGTGTCCTTAGCTGTGACCAGCCCCTGTGCATTCCTGGCTGCAAGTGGAGGTGCCCCAAGGCAGAGCAGAGGGAGGAGGTGAGGGCAGTGGGGAGGGGGGAGGGGGGAGAGCCAGACCGTGGCCAGCTTCCACACGGGACCCTATCTCCTGGGCTGCCCTCTTCTGGCAGCCACTTGCAACAACACCCAAACAGAGGAAGCAGTGTGCTCTGTCCCAGAGATCAGCCCAGATCTGGTGTCCTCTTACCCCAGCCTGCTCTAGGAGAAACATCGCCCCACACCTCATGCTGTTTGCCAAGGTATATCGGCAACCCCTGGCCGTGGGCTCTTCCCTTCCTGTACCCATGCTTCCTTCAAATATCCTTTTGCAGACCTCCATCCTCCCGCATTCATGCTCCTGCCTGGCCATCCATCTCCTAAAGCACCACCAGGCGATGTGCCCCCACTCTCATGGCACCCCCTTGGATCACAGCATCTATGGTCATGGGTCTTTCTCAGACAAGAGCACCTATGGCCCTTCTCTGAGCACACAGTTCTACGTACCCTCCCTCCAGCTGTGGTCAAGGCCACTGAGAGACCACGGAGGAAGGGGGAGGTTGGTGGCTCACCATAGACAGTGACAGCGGCGGAGGAGCTTCGGCGACGGGCCACGATGTTCTTGGCCACACAGGTATAGTTGGCTGTGTCGGCCAGGCGGGCCTGTCGCACCACCAGGCTGTGCTCCCGGGTCACATAGACATTGGGATCCAGGGACGGGTCAACTAGGTCCTCGTTTCGGAGCCACTCCACCTGGGAGGAAAGGGAGATGCTAGCAGATTTGTCTACATGGGCTCTGCCCAGAAGGGCTCTACCGGGGGGGAAGGGGGGACTGCCTGGTGTCTGTCTACATTGTTCCTTATCTATACGGTTCCTTCCTAGAGGGGCACTGTCCACATGAGCTCTGAAGAGCGGCAGCAGGGTGTGAGCTCTGCCTACATGGGTCTTGCCCAAAAAAGACTGTGATACACAGAGAGGAGGCAGAGCTGCCAACGTGGGGAATCTCCCGAGCTCTTAGATTTGATGAGCAGCAAATGTGTTCTGGAACAGGCACCCTGAGATGTTGCCCAAGTCAGGCCCCCGGGCACAAGATGGTGGGGGTGGATGGGGGTAGAGATTAGTACCATGATACTCTGGGGGCTCAGGTCTAGGCTGACCTTGTCTCAGCCCGGGGGATACAGACCAGACTGGACTTTGTAGAATCATCGAATATCACAGCCAGCAGGCACTTCAGGGCTCATCCACACACACCCCTCTTACCACACAGTGAGGAAACTGAGATCAAGAGAGGTTACTCTCTGCAGCTTGCCCAGGGTCACAAAAAGAGTAAACAATATAGCCAGAATTTGAACCCAGGTCCTTTTATTACAAACATTACTACACCGCATTGTTGTGAGTACTGCACAAGCGCTACCTAGAGGACTGTTACGTGGGATACTGGACCCCCCTCAAAAAACCCACCAACTGAAAAGCAAACCAAAAAACAGCACCAGTCTGTTTGAGGGGGAGTGAGCTCATGCTGAATGGACCTGGGCTTACTTTCCCTGGAGACCCCCTTCCCACATGGCCCCATAGCTTGAGACTATGGTGCCCCCCCAACCCCCCAGCAGTCGGGCTGCATGGCAGACCCCTCACAGGTAGAGAGGTTGGGCTGGACTGCCTTTACTGTCATTCAAGGCCTTTACCTTATTTGGATTATAGGCTCAGAGGAGCTGGTAGGGGGCCTCTGACACCATCTGGTGACCAGATTCTAGTCCAACCCGGTCATTTTTATAGGAAAGAAGGCCCAGAGAACAGAAGTGCCTCGCCTGCCCAGAGTTATACCCTGAGCTGACTAAACACCCTGGTGCTCTGAGGGATCAGCTGGTGTGTGGGGCTAGGGGGTCCAGAGGAATTGGAAGGAGGCTGAGCATGCTGACTCCATAGGCTCCAAAGTGGGCTGTGAGCTGGGCCTCCTCACCCCTATGCTGCCCCATAGACCCAGGCCTGCCTCTTACCTCAGCAGGAGGGATGCCCTCAGGTGGGCGGCAGGGCAGCACGATGCCCTGCTCCAAGGACACTTCCTTGGCCAGAGGCTCCTGTTCAAAGTTCTTGCGCAAATCTAGGAGGAGAAATGAGATGGTTGAGGGCTTCCTGGGTCTGGCACAGAACCTGCCAGGCACTAAGAGAATGACTTTTTCCTGGGCACTGGAGTAGAATCCAGACTCGGGGCATGTGGACTCTGCAGGGTAACTGGCCCTCCCGGGGTGGTGGGGGATGGGCTTCGAGGGGAGCAGGTAAGAGAAATTCCACAATCATGGAAAGAGGCTTGTTCCAAAGCCTGGAAATGTGGAGTTAGCCAGTGGTCTTTCCTTTGGCTAGACTGAGGCCCGGGAGAGGGAGGTCCCAGGGGCATCTGTCTACTGGAGTCTCACTTGACTGCCTCTCCATCCAGAGAAGTCCATTCTGGCCCTATTTCCATCCTGGGAAGAACCCTCCAATCCTACCCCATCTCTCTGCTCAAGGAAGGTCCTGCAATCCCACTTCCCTGCCTAGTATGGGTTCCTGGCTCCACCTCCCAGTCACCCCCATGGTGCTCACAGGCAATGCGCACATAGGCCTTCTGGCTCTTGGTGGTGCCTGAAGAACTCCAGGCTACACACTGGCACCAATACTCCTCCAGACCAAAGACTTTTTCCACCTGTTGTCTGGAGATGTTGATGCGGACCTCCATCATCGGCAGCCCTGGATGTGGAGGAAAAGGACCATAAGGGGTGTGGGATAGAGCTAATGTTATCCAGAGGACTGCAGGGGTCTCCCACTGACTTGGGGGGAGGTACATGGATCTCAGCCCCAGGGGCCACCAGCATCTGGGCTGCCTGAATGGGGAACCCAGGCATTCAAATCTGGCCAAGAGGTTTGTGGTAGAATGGAGGGCCATGACAGTAGGTTGCATTGGAGCTTGGGGTTATGTTAAAGTTGGAACAGACCTGAAAACATGGAACATCATGGCTCAAAGAGACCTTAGAACACTGAAGAGGGATTTTCAAAGCTGGAAGGAGTCTTGTAGATCATGTAGTCTAACATTCCTGCCTCCACCCAGTTCTATTTTACAGATCCAGAAACTGAGGCCAGAAAGGTTAAATGCCAAGGCCTGAAATAGGGGCATATGCTGGGGACAGGGTCAAGTGAGTGTAGCCTGACTTGACTGCTTAGGATTATCTGTCAGATGCTGTGGGGACCTGGGGCCACGTCAGAATGCTATTTGCAGAAGGCAGAGTGTGTGTGTGTGTGTGAGACTTCTTCATTTGCTTGAGGGCGAGATGCATGAGGTCCACTGAGGTCAGAGGCAGCACCAGCTAAGTCACAGGTTTAATTCCACTGCACGATGGTACTGTATGAGGGACTAGAGAGACAGTGATAGGCAGAAGTAGCCTAGTGGTTTGGATGCCAAAGCTTTATCTCTGATCTCCAGGCATTCATCTCCCATAGTGTACTGTGGACAGGGTCCTCCAATGGTTCAGAGGGGCCAAGCTTTTCCAACTTCATTTCCTAGTCATTGATCTGTCCTTCTGGCCACCAGAGGGACAGAGGAAAAACAGAATGACATGTGAAGTTCTGGGTGGGGGAAGTCTTTATGACAAGACCTCAGGGAAGGGTTCCTGGAGGAAGTGGTATTTGAGCTGGACTTCAAAGGACACTCAGGAATTCAGGCAGCGAATATCCCTACCAGCCACTGGTCTGTCCCTTTGGCCGTCTCTCTGTCCTGCTCAATGGCTACTATTCTGCTCCTTTGGCTGCTTCGATGTCCCTCCAGTCTCCTCCCCCCCTTTCTCCTCCCATCTGTCTGTCCCTCCCAACACCTGTGTGTCTGGCCACCAAAAGCAGGGTGCCCAGGAGAGCAAAAACTGTTTGTTTCCAATTTCTCCTCCTCCTGACCCCAATTTCCCTCGGGTCACTGGCTTATCAGAAAGAGAGAGCGAGGCAGGGATGGGAATGTGTTTCTATTGTTAACAGAGAAATTCAATTAGGGCTGCCTTGCAGGGAGTCAGGTCTGAGCCCAGCGGAAGGAGCCAAACTTAGCTCAGCTGGTTTAGATCGGGGTGGTTGGAGGTGTGTAGGGGCCATCCTTTTAATTTGCTAACTTGACCTTCCAATGCCACCTGTCTTTGCCTCCTGGCCCCCCCAAAGAACTAACGGTTAGCCCCTCTCTACCCCTGATCCCAGAGCCCATTTTTACAATTAGTATGGCACAGTTAAAACAACCCCAGATTAGGAGTTAAGAGGCCATGTTTGACTCCTGGGTGCAAGGCCCTGGTCCAATTTCCTGCTCTGACACTCCCTAGCTGTGTGACCTTGGACAAGTAAGTCACTTTGCCTCTTTGATGCTCCATTATAAGATGAGTGAGTTGGATTAGGGCCTCTCAGCTCTGATACCTCCATGTTCTCAGGAACCTTCCACCTCTGGCATTCTAGGCCTCTTCGTCAGTCAGTGGACCTCTCTGGGCCCTGGCTGTCTCATCAGTCAAATGGGGATAATCACACCTGCCTGGTTTTTGAGGTCCCTTCTAGGCTGACACGTGGATCCTGCAGTCATAACCCTGGCTAACTTGTTGTTTTTCACTGGAATAGGGAAGAAACTCTTTTCTACCCGTGCCAAGTCTTGCAGCATTTCCTGGGAGCATTGAGAGGCTGCCCAAGGTCACTCCACTAGTATGTGTCAAGAGACCTAAAGGCCACCTCTCTACCGGCCTTGCTAAGGTGTTGGCTGATAAGAAAGGCACGGACCCTCCGTGGGTCACTTCTTATCTCTACTGCCTAATTTACTCTTCTTTGCAACATCTTTTTTATCTACCCCTTTTTGATATTTCCATGGCCTCTCAAAAGGTCTTCACACATTCTTCATATCATCGACAGACTAATCTTCCTCAGATTCAGATTTGATTACGTCACTCCTCTGCTCAAAAGTCCTCAATGACTCCCTGTTACTTACTGAATCGAAATTAAACCCCTGATTGGCATTCAAGGCCTACCACAATTTGGCACTGCCCCATCTTTCCTGCCTTATCTTGTATTCCTCCCTTCTTTAAATTCTATATTTCAGCCAAGCCAGCTTACTCTTTATTGGCCAAACCTATCCTGTGTTCTCTTTGGTTTTCAATGCTTTTTCTCACACCATTTCCAATGCCTGGAACTGTCCACACTCCTCCTCCTCCTCACTGCTGTAATTCTTACTTGTCATTTAAAGTCCAGTTCAAATACCACTTCTTCCAGGATCCCCGATGTCTTGTCATAAAGACTTTTCCCACCCAGAACCTCACTCTGTTTTTCTCCTTTCTAAAAACACAGCTGCCATGAAACACTGAGTACTGGGGTTACCTGTTCTGCCCTCTTATCCCATCACTAGACAGGACCATGCGCTAAGCTCTGAACTGAACTAAACAGGCAGTGACCATATGGAAACCCTAATAATCTTCACCCCACCAGCCCTAACCCTGGCCTTAGCTGTGGCCTGACTCTCTTGGTCTCCCTTAATCTAAATCTCTTTTCTTGGTGAGCCTGAAAAGGGAAGTACAGACTGAGATCTGCCCCATCTAATGGGAAATGATTCCCCCCTTTCCTGTACTCAGTTTTCTCCCACTCTGCTCTTCTCCTTTTCCTTCTTCCCCCTTCTCCCTTCCTTTCTCCTTTCTTCTCCTCTTCTCCCTTACCCTGTCTTCTCTTCTTCCCTTCTCTCCTCCCCTCTCCTCTCTTCTCCTCTTGAGCTCTGGTCTCAATGTGGCCTGGTTATCTTTGTTCAGTTCTCCAGCTCCAGACAGGTCCTTTACCCAGTATAGCATAACGTGAATATATGCCCTTAATAAAAAGACTGGGCAAAGAAAGCAGTGTGGGTGGTTTGGGGGTAGATCAGACCTGGCCTGCCTTGGAGTCACTGTGCAGGGCTGGGCTTAGCTCTGCCGACAGCACCAGGCCTCCTCCCCTCTCCTGTGTTTTCTTTTCCTTTTCAAAGCCTGGGCTCTGTCCCTCCCAAGTTCCAAAGGCCCACTGCAGAAATCATAGACAATTGGGGGCAGTGGCAGCTGCAGCTGCAGAGGACAGGTGTGTGTATGTGAGCAGATGTAACTGTGGCTGGCCCAGGCCCTTTCTGGGGATGCAGCAATTAAGATGTTCTGTGTATGACAGAGAGGAGAGGAGAGGAGAGGAGAGGAGGGGGAAGGGGAGGGGAAAGAGAGAGTAGAGAGGGAGAAAGGAGGAAGGAGAAAGAGATGGAGAGAGGTGAACAGAGAGATGGATAAAGAGAGAGAAGAGAAAGGGGAGGAAAGGGGAAGGAGGGAGGAAGAGAGAGGGGCCTGATAGCATGGGCCCATGTGGAGATCAGTACAAGTAGGTTTGTGTTTGTTGGCTAAGTCCCTAGGATGACCTTAGTGGCTGTATTTTCACCCTCTCATAAATCTGGTTCTAATAACCAATCAGTTTGTTTAACAAATAATAAATTACACTTTCCAAGACCATGCTTAAAATGCTTAGGTCAGCAAATATGGGTCTTTTATGGAGTCAGAGTTTCTGCTCTAATGTTTATCACAATTATCCCTACCTTTTTTTCTCTCTCAGACCTGGTAAAACCATTGCACCAACCCTGACCCCTCTCCCAGCCCTGGGGTAGGAGGAGAAGGGTGAGAGCAAAAGCAGCTTTTTCCTACCTTATGATTGACAAGGGGTGGCTGTTGCTGGTGGGGGTGGTGGTGGTGGGGGCCCTTGCTCCCAAGCAAAGATCCCTCCCATCTCCCCAAACAAAGCTCTCTAATGGGCCCTGGCCCCTTTAGTGTGTAGGTCCATGGAGAGGCAGGGTGATGTCATCCCTGGCCTGCTACTACCTCCTGTGACCTTTCCCCTTTCTGGACTCTGGTCTAGCCATCTGTAGGATGGGGATAAGCCCTGTACTGGCTGCCTCAAGGAAAGCATTGTGTAAACCTCATGCACTACAGCAAGAGTAATTATATTATTATAATTAAATACATAACAAGACCATAAATACATATTATTATTAATAATAAGCAAGGGCCGCTCTGTCTCTCCAGCTCCCTCACCCCCCAAATTAAATTCTGGTTAGCTTTGAGAGGTCAGAAGAAGATCTAAGAACTAGGGCTGCCAGGATCCTTAGAGGTCATTGGGTCCAACCCGAGACCTCAGTTTTGTCTTTGTATGCCCAGCACCCAGCACAGGGCCTGGCACCGAGGCCAGGGCTCATGAAAGGGCCCACTACAGTAAATGTTGCCAGAGAGACAGAGAGAGAGAGAGCAAAAGATAGCAGAAAGAGAGAGAAAGAGAGAGAGAGAGAGCGCAAAAGATAGCAGAAGGAAAGAAAGACAGAGAGACACAGAGAAAGAGAAAGAGAGACAGAGAGAGAGGACAGAGAGACACAGAGAGAGGAGAGGTAGAGAGAAGAGAGACAGAGGGAAGGAAAGTGATGGAGAGAAGAGAGATAGAAGAGAAACAGAAGCAGAGAAGAAAAGGGAGAAGAAAGAGACAGAGAAAGAGGAAGGGAAAGAAAGAGAAAGAGGCAGAGAGGGAGACAGAGAGACAGACAGAAGGACACAGAGACAAAGACAGACAGTGAGCATGGTCTTGGAAAGTGTAATTTATTGTTTGTTAAACAAACTGATTGGTTATTAGAACCAGATTTATGAGAGGGTGAAAATATAGCCACTAAGGTCGTCCTAGGGACTTAGTCAACAAACACAAACCTACTTGTACTGATCTCCACATGGGCCCATGCTATCAGTTGTCTTAGGTCTTAGGGCCAACAATTTCATGGGACAGCAATTCCCATGTCGTGCCATGGTCCCAACAGTGCAAAACATGAGGCAAGGCAGGCTCTCTGTTGGGGACAGATTCATGGCATTTTGGGACTGACAGTGTACAGGACACTGAACATAAGAGCTGGCAGGGAGCCAACAGAACATAACACTGACACAGCCTATTTGAGTGGGAAGGGAGCTTAGAACTTGGAACATGGAATGTCAAGGCTGGGAGGGACCTGAAAGATGTCCTGGTCCAACTCCCTGGTTTTACAGGAGGAGAGCTGACGTGGGGGTGGGGAGAGGGAGTGACCCACCCAAGGTCATCTGAGATCACCGGGTGAGTTAGCTAAAAGCTTCAATGAGGACCAGAAGAATTAGCAGCTGCTCTAGAACATTCTCTCACAGAAAGGGCTGGGCCAGGAGTGGGGAGGAGGGGCAGAGAGGAGGGTTGGGGTCTGTGGTGACTGGGCCCATTTTTTGCCCTTGAAGGTCATCCTTTCTGTCAGTGTGTTACTGATGGGAGCAGGTAAATGTTGTGACAGGTCCTGAATGGGGGGGGGGCTACTGTAATCCCACTCTACCCCAGCTTCCTGAGGTAAAGTCTATGAGAGGCCCCCTCTGGAACTCATAATAACCTCGATTTCAATTTGGAATGGAACTCAAGAGGTCATCTAAGCCAACCCTTTCATTTTACAGATGAGGAAACTGAGGCCCAAGGAGGATAAGGGTTTTGCCCATGGTCACCTAGCTAGTGTCAGAGGCAGGATTTGAATCCAGGACCTTTGACCCCAGAGCAAATGCTGTCTCTGTATTATTATGGATTCTGGTCCCATTGTGTGCCCAGTTCCGCATGCAACTGGGTCAGCTGAGAGGTTCCTTCCAGCTCTGGATCTGCAATCCTATGCTTCTTTTCCATTTAAGTTCCTGAGCTCTTCACCCCAGAGCCCCAACTCATAGGCCAAGTGACTCACTATGGGGAGATGTAGGAGGCTACCTGCCCCTGGAAGGCCTGGGACTGGGGGAGCAGAAAGGAATGTGGCCCCTGGACCCCAGGTCTAATTGAGTCTCCTCCCCTAGCCTAGGCTTATTCTGCTTCCCCTACACTTGGGACCCCTACTCTCGCCCTCCTCAGAGGCCTGAGTCACTGCCCTCCCTACCTCTCTCCAGGGCAAGGATCAGTTTACCTACATAAGGTTCTGATAAAGGAGACGCTTAGGGCACCTGGATTTGCCAGAGGCGATAGCACCCTCCCTTCTTTACCTCCAATACCAACCAACGTCTTTACGAACGGGAAGCCATGGGCAGCTAGACTGAGATGGCTGAGGGTAGAGCTTGGGGACGGCTGCATGGGGAACTGAAATAACTCGTCTGAACAGAAGCCCTTGCTTATTTTTGTTACTAATAATAGATATTCTCTGTCTTTGTATCTGCAGCACCCAGTGCAACGTCTGACATGTTTGTTGTTCAGTGGTTTAGGTCGTGTCCGATTCTCTGTGACTCCATTTGGGGTTTTCTTGGCAAAGATACTGGAGTGGCTTGCCATTTCCTTGTCCATTTTACAAATAAGGAAACTGAGGCAAACAGGATTAAGTGACTAGCCCAAGGTCACACAACTAGTAAGTGCCTGAGGTCAAATTTGAATTCAGGTCTCTCCAACTCCAGGCCTGGTGCTCCATCTGTTATCTGGCACATAGTGGCTATTTCATAAAATGCTCATTGATTGATGGACGTATGGGAGTTGTAGCCAGCCTCCTGACTTTGGCTTGTCCTAGCAGTCAAATCCGCCCACTCTCCCAGACACCTCCCAGAGGTGCCTCTCTCTAACCCACTTGTTCAAGATTACGGTGTATGGCAGTCATTTGTGTGGTTGTCTTATCCCCTAAGGAGACCACGTGAGCTCCATGAGGTAGGGGCAGGCCCTTGTGAGAGTTTTCTAGTTCCTCCCTTGGGAGCAGAGGGTTCTGCAAGCAGGGGCCACTTCAGGAAGGGCCCATGGGCTTGGAGGGTCCTGGCCTTCCCAGTACTGCAGCAGCCCTGGCTGAAGAGCCAGATGGCCTGGAGCTGAATCCTGGCTCTACTGTTTCCGAAAGGTGTGACAGGGGGCAAGACCCTTCTTTTCTCCAGGCCTCAGTTTCCTAATATGCAAAATGAGGGGAATGAACCAGGTGACCTGAGATGGTCAGAGTCAGAAGGGCAGAAAGAAGGAGGCACAGACTGGTATTCAAGGAGACCTTGATTCTATCCTTGGCTAATTTCCTAGGTGGCTGGGGACAAGCCAAGTCCCCTCTGTGAGCCTCAGTTTCCTCACCAGTAAATAAAAGGAGTCAGACTAGATAGACTTTAAGCCCCTTCCAGCTGGGACATCTGATGTTTCTGTGATTGCTTTTATACTGAGCCAAAATCCAATTCTCAGTAATTTCTACCCATTGATTACCAGTTCAGTCTTTAGAAAAAGTTGCCTTGGCCCCAGAAACCCATTCTACTCTGAACACCATCAGAGACTAGTATCCCTGCTTCCTCAGCCCTTCCCATCCTTGCTCTCCACCCATCCCTGCCTCCTTCCTCTCTCTTTCCATTCTCACCCCTCCCCAACTCTTCCCCCTATCTCTACTCCTTTCCCTCCCTCTATCCCTGCCCCCTTCCTCTCCCCTAATCCCTACCCCCTTCTCCTCCCTCCATCCCTCTCCCCCATCTCTGCTCCCTTTCCCCTCCCTCCATCCCTGCCCCCTTCCCAACTCCCCTTATCCCTGCCCCCTTCCCTCCCTCCCCTCTCCCCCAGTCTAGCCTTACCCCTTCCCTTCTCGGTGCTGTGCTCTGTTATGTGGTCCCCCTGGTGAACCCACTCCCCATTGCACTTGAAGTAGATCTGGGTGGCAGGGCTGGCCTTGCACGTGAGTGTCACTGGCTTGTTCTTGACAATGTAGACATCCTCAGGCTCCACCAGGAAATGGGGCAACAGGTCAGGGTTGGCGCCAGGCACTGGGTTGGCCACAGTGGCACTCTGCTGGGCACCTGGGATGGCAAAGGGAAGGAATGAAAGGCCCAGAAATGAGCAGAGACACAACAACCCCAGACATCCTGTCATAGAGTCTGCCCCCTCAGACAGAGGTCAGAGTCCTGGTTATAGGATTTAGAGCTGTAAGAGACCAAATGAGGAAACTGAAATCTGGAGAGAAATGACATGCCCTAGTTTATAGAACAAGGAAGTGACTGAGATGGGAGACCAGGTTTAAAATAAAGCTTTACTAGGAGTGACCACATCAAGGAGAAAAGTCATAAGAGAAAGAGTACTAGGAGTAGCACAGTCAAGATCACAAAGGTGGTTCTCTTGCTTAACCCTCAGTTTGCTGGTGGAACCAGACATGGAACTCCCCCCACCCCCATCTCCCTTTAACATCTACAGGGCTTCACTGGCCCCTCCCACACAAAATGTAAATCACAGCCATTAAGTTGCATGGAGCCTTTGTGGTCATTTGGTCTCATCTCTACACCATCCCAAAGAAATGGTCACCAAGCTTCTGCTGGAATCCCTGGTGATGGGGATTGGTGCTCTCCAACCCACCACCTACCAGGACACACCATTCTAGCTACCTTCAGACAGTTCTGATTTGGAGAGAATTCCTAGCTCTGTTATGGAATTGCTTTTTACACTGGGCTGAAATCAGCTTTCCTCTCCTCCCCTCCCCCAGCATACAAACTGCTGCCCCCAGTTCTGTCCTCTAAGGCCAGGCAGAACCAAATTAATCCCTCTTCCACTTGAGGCATTTATCATGTCCTCCCCAAGTCTCCTCTCGTCTGGGCAATAGATTCCTCATTCCTTCAAATGATCCTTGTGCATCCTGGTTCCGGTTACCTTTCTCTCAACGTGCTCTTGTTTGTCAATGGCCCCTCTAAAATGCGTGGCCCCCACCCGGACATTATCCCCCAATGCGTGTGGCCCCCACCTGAACACTATCCCCCAGTGTAAGTCTGATCAGCGCAGAGGTCCAAGGACAGAAGCATGGAGGGACCATTGTCTATCACGGGGTCAGGGAAACACCATCTCACCTCCTTCCTAGCACCAGGTACTGCTAAGCCCGAGGGACAAAATGGCAGAAAGAAAACACAAGGGAAAGCTGGGCCCTGACCCTCAGGGTTCAAGGCTGGCCCTTTTGCTTTCCCTAAAAACTCAAGGTGAAAATGCCTTTCAATACTGGTGAGTACACATTGTAACTGGGAGGCAGTGTGGTATAATGGGAAGAGCACTGAATCTGGAGTCAGAGGTGGTTGTGGTTATTTACTTGATTAATCATGTCCCCGTGACTCTTTGTGATCCCATTCGGGCTTTTCTTGGCAGAGATGCTGGAGTGGTTTGCCATTTCCTTCTCCAGTTCATTTTACAAACAAGGAAATGAAGGTAAACATGGTTAAGTGACTTGCTCAGGGTCACACAGCTAGTTAGTGTCTGAGGCCAGATTTGAATTCAGGTTCTCCTGACTCTAGGGCTGAACTCTATCCACTGCACCACCTACCTGCCCCTTGGAGTCAGAGGACCTGGGTTCAAATCTGGCCTCTGCCAATTACTTCTTATGTGAGCTTAGGTGTTACTCAACCTCTGCAGCCTTCACTTCCCTCATCCGTAAAATGAGGGGATTGTATCCGATGGCCTCTAAAATCCCTTCTGGTTCAAAATCTCTGATCCTAGGAGCTCTTGAAGCCTCAGTATCCTTCTCTGTAAAATTCGCTATCTACCTCTCAGGGCTGTTGTGAGGAAAAAGAACTTGCCAAAACGCTTTAGAGTTGGCAATAACCTTGTCTCTGGAGAGCACTGGGGAAGCAGGGGTGATGGTGGTTACTGTATGGCAGAGGTGGGGAACATGTGGTCCTCTAAGTCCTCGAGTGAGGTCTTTTGACTGAGTCCAAGTTCTATAGAACAAATCCTTTTACGAAGGGGATTTGTTCTGTGAAGTTTGGATTCAGTCAAAGGGCCACACCTGAGGACCTAGAGGGCCACATGTGGCCCACCCCTGCAGGGGTTTAGAGGTAGCTTTAAACCAGGGTCAGAGGGACTTAAAATCAAGGACTAAGAGTGGGCTGGAAGGGAGGGGCCCAGGCCATCCCAGCTCCCCCTTCTTGTAACACTTACAAAAGGTTCACAAAGCACTTTCTTCACAAGAGTACAAGTATCGTTAGCCTTGAGACTCAGAGGACTTCCCTAGCATCACACAACCAGAAAGTCTCTGGGCTGGGGCTCAAACCTAGGCTCGCTGATTTTCAAGACCAGTCATTTCTATATCATAGCATGGCTGGAAGAGGCCTTAAAGGATACTGTGCACAACCTATCGTCTTCCTCCTGTCCCCTTTCTCTTAAGTGCTGCCAATGACCCAGAGACTCGCTCTCTTCCACAATGGCCTCCACAAGGCCATTCCTGGCTGACTGGAAAGGCTGCAAACTTTTGTGACATTCTCATTTTCGCTTTCCAGTCATACTGACTCCTTTCCTTTCTGGTCTCTCTCCCTTTTCTCTGAGTCTTACAAAATCATTAAATTTGAGGGAGGAGGAGGAGGAGGAGGAAGCAGGGCTCAGCTACTGGAAATCTCTCCTAGAACTCTCCATGAACAATCCTAGAAGCCTTTACACATGACCCTTCCAGGAGTCCCCGTTCCAAAGCATCTGGTGGATGCTGGCATAGTTATACATGGCAGGGCAGGGCTACAATGAGGACTGGGTGGGACCCCCTAAGGCATCTTACTCAACCTTCCAATGTCATTCCTGATAAGGGGTCATCTGGCTTCTACTTCAACCCTTCTGAGGAGAGAGAACCTGTAACCTCTGGGGCCAAGCAGGGCCTCTGGGGCCAAGAAGGGCCTCTGGGGCCAAGCAGGGCAGATTTAATCTTGTCTGCATGATGGCACTTCAAATACTTGAAGTCAGCTACCATGTCCCTCTGGAGCCTTTTCTTTTCTTCATGCCAAACAACTCCTCCCTCATCTCTTTCCCCTTTTCTCGTCTCTCTCTCTCTTCTCTGGGTCTCTCTCCCCTTCATTTGACCTTCAGTTGGGATCATTCATGCAAATTCCTGAGCATACGGACAGCCAGAGACTAGGGAACAGGCAGCAACTCTGCCTCTTAACCAGGCTTGACACTAGGATAAATCTAAACAGAGGCATTATTAACACTGACTCAACCCTGTCCTCTAATCTTGACCCAATTTCAGCTTTGATACATCTATTCAATCTACCCTCCCACCTCATCTCACCCAATTCTAGTTCTGAAACTATGCCCCAAATCCACCCCCAACATAACCTTCCACCTGCCTTCCAATTCCAGTCTAATATCTTCTCGTTCTCCAATTCCAACCCAACCTCCAATCCTCATCTGCCTATCAACCTGTCCAACCCACCTGGACTTTTGAACCCTGGCCCAACTTTGTGTTGAATTTCAACCCTGTCCCTATACCATTTGTGCCCCAATCCTGCCTCTCTTCCCCACTTTGTCCTGACCATGTCCCTGTCTAGTCCACTGCTTCTGGATTTAGAAAGACTGGGGTCCTGGGGAGTGGGGAGGGGAGGAAGAAAGAGAGAAAGCAAAAGGATTTGGAGGTAGCATCAGGTACTGGTAAGAGCCCTGGGGACTGGGAGTTAGGAGGCTCGAATTCTAGCCCTGGCCCCACCACTAATTTACTGCCTGACTTTGGGCACATCCCCTACACCTGTCTCTGCCTCAGTCTTTTTGTTTGTAAAATGAGTGAATGGGATTTCATGATTTCCCCAGGTCCCTCCAGCCCTGGAAGCCCTGACTCTAAGGCAGCAGGGAAGCAGAGGGACTTTGGAAAGGTCTTGATGGCCTGGAAGTAGGGAATAAAACACCAACTTGGTAGAATCTGGGGCATGTTTCTGGCCTTTCACTTCCTGTCTCTCTTCAGTGGCCAGGGAGTGAGAGTGGAGAAAAACCCTTAGCCCTCATTTCCTCTTCCCCCTATTCTCCCCAAACAGGCAGCTCTGCTTTGGCCGGTGGATGCTTCAGGGGTCAGCTCAGCTCAGTCCCTGATTCCTGAGTCTCCTTCCCAGGGACTCCTTCGCTCTCTACCCTGCAGCTCCAATGCTTCAGACACCCCGGGATCCTCAAGAACCCACTTCCTGGGCAGAAACTGAGAACCAAACTTCCTATTCATATCTCCTTGCCCGGGGCCAGGGTTGTGTGGGAGCAGGGAGGCTTCCAGCCAGAAGTTCTAATACCTCAAGCTAGTCAAGAGCATTCAGGGAGGGAGGGGGAAAGGCTCAAAGGGGCTCAGAGTGACTTGCTTGCATAAGCTGAGGTCTGTCATGGCTGGTGGACATCCCTGTGCCTGCTCTGAGCCCGGCTGCTCGAGCTCTGTCCACCAGGCACCAGGGAGAGGGGGGTGGGGTAGGTACAAGGGCTTCCTAAGCCTTCCTCCCCGGCATCCCTGTCGGCCCATCCATTACCGCACCAAGCATTGCTAGCGTCAGGCGCCCGCTGAACCCGCCACAATCCCTCATGTCTGCATTTAACTGCTAATGAAAAATAAATGTTCCGTGACCAATGAGGGGCACAGCTCACTTCTCTGGGGGCTGCATCACACCAAGCCACACCATGCTCTCACCCACCTTCTCCTCTGCCTGCTCTAGCTGGGAGACCCAGGGGACGTTTGTACTTTCCCTCCTGGGCAGCTCACACTGCCAAGGGCACCCGGTGATGTCCTACAGCCAGGGTGAGAGGGACTGCCCCTGATGACAGGCACGAGTGCCCCTCCAGGGTTCTCACTGCTCTAATCTGTAAAATGGGGCCAATATCCCCCTTTTCCTTTCCCTCCCAGTTCTGGTCTGAGGATCAATATCTGAATAATCTTTCTCACACACAGATCTAGTTATCAGCTCAGAAATCTTTAGTGATTCCTTGTAGTCTATTGAGAAAAATTCAGATTCTTCTGTTTGGCACTCAAGGCCCTTCACAGTCTGATGCCCCCCACCTTTCTAGCTCTATTTCATATTACTCCCATGCATTCTGTACTCCAATTAGAATGGACAGTTCTTTGAGCTCTGAACATGCCCTGGGATTTCTTGTCTTTTCTCCTTCTGTCCCCTTGT